CAGCCTCACACTGAAGCTTCAGCCTCACACAGAAGCTTCAGCCTCACACTGAAGCTTCAGCCTAGATAGATCAGGTACAGGTAGAGGTAGATCAGGTACAGGTGGAGGTAGATCAGGTACAGGTGGAGGTAGATCAGGTACAGGTGGAGGTAGATCAGGTACAGGTGGAGGTAGATCAGGTACAGGTGGAGGTAGATCAGGTGGAGGTAGATCAGGTACAGGTGGAGGTAGATCAGGTACAGGTGGAGGTAGATCAGGTGGAGGTAGATCAGGTACAGGTGGAGGTAGATCAGGTACAGGTGGAGGTAGATCAGGTACAGGTGGAGGTAGATCAGGTACAGGTGGAGGTAGATCAGGTACAGGTGGAGGTAGATCAGGTACTGATGGTGTTTATGTCAGTTTAACAAGAAAAGACGAGCTTCAAATCAAATGTGTTTTTCATCAGAAGAGAAAGTCCAGAGGGCTGCACCTGTCAGTCTGTTAATGTCTCACCTGTCAGTCTGTTAATGTCTCACCTGTCCAAACGGTCTCACCTGTCAGTCTGTTAATGTCTCACCTGTCCAAACTGTCTCACCTGTCAGTCTGTTAATGTCTCACCTGTCCAAACGGTCTCACCTGTCAGTCTGTTAATGTCTCACCTGTCCAAACGGTCTCACCTGTCAGTCTGTTAATGTCTCACCTGTCTCACCTGTCCAAACTGTCTCACCTTTCTCAACTGTCTCAACTGTCTCACCTGTCCAAACTGTCTCACCTGTCCAAACGGTCTCACCTGTCAGTCTGTTAATGTCTCACCTGTCTCACCTGTCCAAACTGTCTCACCTTTCTCAACTGTCTCACCTGTCTCACCTGTCCAAACTGTCTCACCTGTCTCAACTGTCTCAACTGTCTCACCTGTCCAAACTGTCTCACCTGTCTCAACTGTCTCAACTGTCTCACCTGTCTCACCTGTCAGTTTGTTAATGTCTCACCTGTCCAAACTGTCTCACCTGTCTCAACTGTCTCACCTGTCTCAACTGTCTCACCTGTCTCACCTGTCAGTCTGTTAATGTCTCACCTGTCCAAACTGTCTCACCTGTCTCAACTGTCTCACCTGTCTCACCTGTCCAAACTGTCTCACCTGTCTCAACTGTCTCAACTGTCTCACCTGTCTCACCTGTCAGTCTGTTAATGTCTCACCTGTTCAAACTGTCTCACCTGTCTCAACTGTCTCACCTGTCTCAACTGTCTCACCTGTCTCACCTGTCAGTCTGTTAATGTCTCACCTGTCCAAACTGTCTCACCTGTCTCAACTGTCTCACCTGTCTCAACTGTCTCACCTGTCTCACCTGTCAGTCTGTTAATGTCTCACCTGTCCAAACTGTCTGACCTGTCTCAACTGTCTCACCTGTCTCAACTGTCTCACCTGTCAGTCTGTTAATGTCTCACCTGTCCAAACTGTCTGACCTGTCTCAACTGTCTCACCTGTCCAAACTGTCTCACCTGTCAGTCTGTTAATGTCTCACCTGTCCAAACTGTCTCACCTGTCCAAACTGTCTCACCTGTCTCAACTGTCTCACCTGTCCAAACTGTCTCACCTGTCCAAACTGTCTCACCTGTCTCAACTATCTCACCTGTCTCACCTGTCCAAACTGTCTCACCTGTCCAAACTGTCTCACCTGTCCAAACTGTCTCACCTGTCCAAACTATCTCACCTGTCCAAACTGTCTCACTTGTCTAAACTGTCTCACCTGTCCAAACTGTCTCACCTCTCCAAACTGTCTCACCTGTCTCAACTATCTCACCTGTCCAAACTGTCTCACCTGTCCAAACTGTCTCACCTGTCTCAACTATCTCACCTGTCCAAACTATCTCACCTGTCCAAACTGTCTCACCTGTCCAAACTATCTCACCTGACCAAACTGTCTCACCTCTCCAAACGGTGTCACCTGTCTCACCTGTCCAAACTGTCTCACCTGTCTCACCTGTCTCACCTGTCCAAACTGTCTCACCTGTCCAAACTGTCTCACTTGTCTCACCTGTCCAAACTGTCTCACCTGTCCAAACTGTCTCACCTGTCTCAACTATCTCACCTGTCCAAACTATCTCACCTGTCCAAACTGTCTCACCTGTCCAAACTGTCTCACTTGTCTCACCTGTCTCACCTGTCTCACCTGTCCAAACTGTCTCACCTGTCCAAACTGTCTCACCTGTCCCACCTGTCCAAACTGTCTCACCTGTCCAAACTGTCTCACCTGTCTCACCTGTCCAAACTGTCTCACCTGTCCAAACTGTCTCACCTGTCCAAACTGTCTCCTCTGCAGAAACACATCTGTCTTCTACCGGCTCTGCCTCCTCAGCTGCAGGATTTATTCACAACGTCAGAGACAGAGGAGAAGCTTCTGTTCTTCTTCTGTGGTGGAGCTGTTAGTGCATGTCAATGGTGGAGCTGTTAGTGCATGTCAACGGTCTGCAGAGGCTAGAATCCCTGTGTTCCTCCAGAGGAACTTTCTATCTCAAGTTGAAACTGATTAGAAAGCTACTACGTTGGAGCAGAAGTTGTTTCTAGACCTTGGTGACACACACACACACACACACACACACACACACACACACACACACACACACACACACACACACACACACACACACACACACACACACACACACACACACACACACACACACACACACACACACACACACACACACACACACACACACACACACACACACACACACACACACACACACACACACAGACGTGTGACGGCAGCAGCTGCTGGTCTCCTGCTGTTCACATCAGGAAACACACAATCTGCAGGAACATTTTTATATTTCAGCTGCAAAACAATACGACTAAAATAATATCCAAGTATTTCTGCGAACGTATTCATATTGAAAGTATTATATCCTGCAGTTTAATCACCTTGGAGACACTAATACTTCTGTTTGGATTAGATATTTATTTGTTATTATTATTATTAAATCTATTCAATTCATGGTGCATCAGATTTCATAGAGTCCTTATACATTTATTATACAATTTAAGTGTTTTATTATTTAACTGTTTGCAGATCTCAGTCATTGATCTTATTATCTTTAAGTTATTCACATTATAAGTGGAAGAGAAAATGACAAAATGCTAATTATAATCACATTTTCCACCAGCTGTGCTCAAAGCACCTCTGTATTGTATTACATATGATTCAAAGTGACATGAATATGAAGTCTAATATTTGCCGTAATAAAACAGACTCTGATTTTCATTCGACTGAAACCTAGAGCTGAGATAAGAAGTCTCACCGATACCCTCAAGTCTTCATTAGAAACTCACCTGTTCACCATGACCTCTGACCCCTCTGACGGTCACCATTAATGTAAACAATTATTTCCGAGGCACATGTTTATATGATCATTATAGTTATAAAATGGGTGTTGAGAGAGGTATCCATAGATCTCTCCATGTTGCTCTCAAAGTGCACCAGATTGATGCTTTCAACTTCAATATTTAAAAAAAAATCTTCCCGGGGGAGCTTACCCCCGGACCCCCCTAGAGGAGGTGAGGACCCCCCTAGAGGAGGTGAGGACCCCCCTATGTGAGGTCCACACACCACCTGTAAAAATAGCACTTTACCCCTGCTTACACCTATATGCCGTGAGCTGATTATCGAGCCTTCATTGTAACAGTCGCAGGTACACTGTGTGTGTGTGTGTGGTGTGTGTGTGTGTGTGTGTGTGTGTGTGTGTGTGTGTGTGTGTGTGTGTGTGTGTGTGTGTGTGTGTGTGTGTGTGTGCGTGGGGAATGTTGCAGTAGAAAGTTCCACTGTAGCGCCCGGTACATTAATGGGAAACCCTAAATGTTTGAGCACCCTCTATGAAACGTCAAGCTCCCCCACAGCACCCCCAAAATAAATCTCTGAGCCTGACTATTTGTGTTGGGGGACCCGACTTTTTTTTTCCGCCAAAAAAGAGAGAGTCTCTTTCCACAGAGGGGACACATGTTGATGTAGAAGAGACATGAAGAAGAGGGGACACATGTTGATGAAGAAGAGACATGAAGAAGAGGGGACACATGTTGATGTAGAAGAGACATGAAGAAGAGGGGACACATGTTGATGAAGAAGAGACATGAAGAAGAGGGGACACATGTTGATGTAGAAGAGACATGAAGAAGAGGGGACACATGTTGATGTAGAAGAGACATGAAGAAGAGGGGACACATGTTGATGAAGAAGAGACATGAAGAAGAGGGGACACATGTTGATGTAGAAGAGACATGAAGAAGAGGGGACACATGTTGATGTAGAAGAGACATGAAGAAGAGGGGACACATGTTGATGAAGAAGAGACATGAAGAAGAGGGGACACGTGTTGATGAAGAAGAGACATGAAGAAGAGGGGACACGTGTTGATGTAGAGGAGACATGAAGAAGAGGGGACACATGTTGATGAAGAAGAGACATGAAGAAGAGGGGACACATGTTGATGTAGAGGAGACATGAAGAAGAGGGGACACATGTTGATGAAGAAGAGACATGAAGAAGAGGGGACACATGTTGATGTAGAGGAGACATGAAGAAGAGGGGACACATGTTGATGTAGAAGAGACATGAAGAAGAGGGGACACATGTTGATGTAGAGGAGACATGAAGAAGAGGGGACACATGTTGATGTAGAAGAGACATGAAGAAGAGGGGACACGTGTTGATGAAGAAGAGACATGAAGAAGAGGGGACACGTGTTGATGAAGAAGAGACATGAAGAAGAGGATTTTAAATAATAGGGGACCTCTAAATCAAACCACAAGCAGCTGCTACATGCTGTCCTGACTGAGTGTTAGTATTTGAGATCTGGTGTGTTATGAGATGCCTGCGTTGAATGTGGTTTTGAGATCTGGTCTTGATGCAGCAACTCTCTCCCATTGGAGACAATAGAGTTGCTTAAAGACCCAGGTTGTGTTTGAAAGAGTGTGTACTGACTGAGTGCATTAACTCACACAACAACAACTGAACTGGACTCACTGTGGGCTCTTGGGGTAGAAGGGCAGCGTCACGTGGCTCAGCTCGCTGATGTCGCAGGCGTTGGGCTCGGCGGAGATGGCCTGCCGCTTGCTACGATGCTTGTCCGGCTGCAGGACCAGGTGCTGCTGGTTCTGGACCTGCTGGGCGGTGGCGGGTCGCAGGACGGACCGGTACTTGTCCAGCTCGGTCTGCAGATGCTGGATCAGCTCGTCCTTCTGGTCCAGCTCCAGCTCCAGCTCGTCGATCAGGGCGTCTCGCTGCCGCAGCTCCTCGATCTTCTCCTGCAGGGCATACTGAAGGTCCCGCAGGGTCCCCATCGGACCGGGAGGAGGTAGAGGGCCCTCCAGAGGGTCCGGGAGGAGGTATCGGGTCCTCCAGAGGGTCCAGGAGGAGGTCTCAGGTCCTCTAGAGGGTCCGGGAGGAGGTATCGGGTCCTATAGAGGGTCCGGGGTTCCTCTGTGGTCCCCAGGTTTACACTGGATCAGTCCCTGTAGTGTTTGTAAAGAGTTAGTTAGTGTTCAACCCGAGAGCAGCGGTTCCCAACCTAACAAACAATAAGGAGGCTAAATAAAGATTGGATTGGTCGATTCAGAACATGTGACACGTTGTTAATCCAGTAGAACAGACCGCTGTCAAGGACTGTAATGAACGTTGGTCGGGAGGATCAAGAGAGAGCCCTAACCCTAAGGTTGTCCTTTGGCTCTTTGGGTCCCTTCAGACGAGCTAGTGGACCCTTGATGGATGAGTCTGATCTTTCCATCTTAACCTGTTAAGCCCCGAGCCTGTTTTTCAGGTTTCAGGCTCGAAAATGACATGCCCAAAACAAATGACTATAACTTCACTTCTAAAAGGGTTATATGAATAATTTCTTTTATCAAAGCAAGGTTACATCTGTGAGTTGGATGTAGAAGTGTCAGAATCAATATAAATGTTTCTCAGTCAGAGTAAATTCAGATGGAACATCGTAAAAAAAGGTAAATTCTTACCTCCGCCTAAAGAGAAAACATTACTTATAGTGAAAACCAGCCTTGAATGATGGGATAGTAGACTAAAAGCTTTAGGAATCCAAACTATAACATATAATAAGTACCCTGTATCAAGATTGAGGCAAAACAAGTTAAATTTGACCTTTTTTAGAGAGGTTTAGCAAAAAGAAGTTCCAGGCGGAATAAGCTTTCGGCACATTTGGGTACATCTGGTTCCATCAGTGCCATTTGACCTTTTTCAGGTACCAGACTATAAAAATTATGTATTACATTGAATTATCACCATAGGTATTCATTCTATTCAAAGAAAAAAAAATTAAATTAAAAAAATGTATAAAAAATTTAAAAGATTTTTTTTTTTTAATCCCGCCGACGGGGGCTTTGGGGCTTAACAGGTTAATAAAACAAAAGCCTTCCCCTAGTTCTTTAAAGACTTGTAGGTTTTCTTTAGATGGTCTGAAGGGTCCACTATGCGTCTGCGGTCTCTTCTGGGTACCCCTAACTTTTGATTTGAATCAAAGCTCTCTTAGTGAGTGTCTTTGGAATCGTAAAAGATAGTCCACCTACCTTCTGGGTCCCCAAAGGAGAGCCTTTCCCTTCCTTCCTCAGGTCCTCCTAGGTCCCTGTCAGTAGACTGAGTGAGAGTCCCAGGGATTCATGGGTCTCCTTTTGGGATGGACCCTTGATTTTCTCAGAGTCTTGGTCCTTTTTTCGATCGGAAACGACACTTCGGTTTATTTCTGGGTAATTAAAAACCCTTAACCTTGATTAAGTCTTCCTCTAAGTGTCTTTTAGGTCCCTTTAGGTATTCTTAGGGGTCTCAGGATCACGGATTTTGACGAGTATTGGCAATTTCTAAAAAAGTACGTCAGTTTCTTTCTGAGTAACTTAGAGAGCCAGGTTATAACGCCCTGTAGTTCTCAGGGTCTTTCCGGTCCTTCAAGTGTCCTTCGGGGGAGCCTGGGGTCTTTGGGGGGGCTCTTCCTGCAGATTCCCTCCTCCAGGGTGGTTCAGATTATTCCTGAGGAGTGCTTCTGTTTTCAAAGTTCCCTGGCGTGCCTCACTCTGCCGTCCTTTTGATATCTTCAGGTTCCTCTACAGACTCATATTTCCATAAACGTGTCCTCTCCGTCTTCCAGGGAATAAAAGCTCTGCTCCTCGGGGAGAAACCTCCAGGACTCCTCTTCACCTCCAGGACTCCTCTTCACCTCCAGGACTCCTCTTCACCTCCAGGACTCCTCTTCACCTCCAGGACTCCACCTCCACCTTAGTGAGGGAAATCAAGTGGAGAGTCTCCTGGCTGATGAAACCTGCACATCTAAGGCTGTATCTCATATATATTTGTATATTGTATTTGTAGTTGTGTGGAACTTATTTCTCTACTCTATACTCTGTATATCTTTGTAGTGTTTATCTGTATATCTCGTGTGCTTTAAAGCATGCGCTCACCAGTTAGAGAGGAACACAGTGCCTCTCTCTGTGTACCGTGGAGTCCACAGGTTGCAGGCGAACTGAGGACCAGAGACGCAGGCTGTGAAGTGAAACAGATTCCTCCGTGCAGAAGAACAACATGAGTTTTGTGTCGGGTGTAATCCTCAGAGGTGATTCAGGAGGCGATTCAGGAGGCAGGAGAATCCCCGCAGCTGGGACACATGTTCAATCCGGATCAAACCGAAACGCTCCTGCAGACTGAAGCCCGACAGGAGGAGAAGAGATGCGGCTCACGTGTGGAGAGGAGACCCGGAGGAGGAGCAGGTCTGTAGTGCGTGCAGAGAGGAGGAGGTGTGCAGCTCAGATGCATGGAGAGGAGGTGCAGCTCCTTTAGTTTCACTTTGATGCCGAGCAGAAACTGAGTTGTGCCTCCTCCTCTTCTAAATATATCTGTGTGTCTGTGTGTCGATAGATACCCCTCTGCCTCACACCGTTTCCTGTGAGAGACATACCCGCTCAGTGAGTGTATCCTCCTGCTAAATGACATCATGTGCAAAACAGACTTGAAAATATATTTTAAAAACCCTACAGCGTGATAAAAACACACCACAAGAAGACGTGGAAAATAAGACCAAGTGCTGCCAAAAAGATAAGGACATAAATAATGCAAACAGAGGTGTACAACAAACAGAAAAGCAAGAATAAGGAGATGCCAAAACATCATAACACAAACAAATCGAAACACAACGTTATTTCCAGAAACCAGAGACTGTATTATCATGTCTCATATCACCATGTAACCCTCTGACCCACAGCTTTATTAACTTGTACTTTAAAAGACAAAATATTGTAGAATATAAACTCTAGTATTTCTCTCTGCCTGACTCACCTGCGCCCCTCTGCGCTGTGGCGCCCCCTGCTGGCTGCTCACTGTCAGCACACCTAAAAGACCCTCTGTCAGTTTGAGAGGAGACTAACATCTGTGATCAAATCATAATGTTGAATCCATCTTCTTTTCCGGCAAGAATGAGCTGAATATTATCTAAAAATACATTTAAAATCTCACATCGCAGTATTTTTGTGTTGTTTTCCTAAATGTGACTAATGTATTCAACTTTATTCAACAAATGGGCGTTGACAAAAAAAGTGAAAAATCTGAGAGAGCAACATCTGCCATGTTCTCCTGTGTGTGTGTGTGTGTGTGTGTGTGTGTGTGTGTGTGCGTGTGTGTGTGTGTGTGTGCGTGTGTGTGTGCGTGTGTGTGTGTGTGGTGTGTGTGTGTGTGTGTGTGTGTGTGTGTGTGTGTGTGTGCGTGTGTGTGTGCGTGTGTGTGTGTGTGTGTGTGTGTGTGTGGAGACCTTTGCAGATAGTGACTGTCGGTCAAAGGCCTCCTGCAACATACACACACACACACTCTTCATCCTGCTGGTTGTATGTGTATTTGCATGTGTGTGTGTGTGTGTGTGTGTGTGTGTGTGTGTGTGTGTGTGTGTGTGTGTGTGTGTGTGTGTGTGTGTGTGTGTGTGTGTGTGTGTGTGTGTGTGTGTGTGTGTGTGTGTGTGTGTGTGTGTGTGTGTGTGTGTGTGTGTGTGTGTGTGTGTGTGTGTGTCCACAGATAGCAGCAGGTTAAACATTAACGCCGGCCGGCTCGTAAAGCTAACACCAAGACAGTGAACCTTTGGAGTTTGATATGATGTGATCACACACACACACACACACACACACACACACACACACACACACACACACACACACACACACACACACACACACACACACACACACACACACACTCTCTCTCCTCAGAATGACTCTGCTCTGATCGGAGGAGGTGATCTCTGAAATTGCTCGGGTGAGTTTTTCCTCAAATTAACTTTAATGTTTTGTATGTGTTATAATTTAAATCCTCAAACACACAGAGAGAGTGTGTGTGTGTGTGTGTGTGTGTGAGTGTGTTTAGTCTTCTTCGTTGGTGTGTGATGATGAGGAGGTTAAACGTGGCTGACTGAACAAACAGGCCGAGCCGCTAACGTGTTATAACAGAGATAAAAACAGCTAAAATATTACATAATATACATTTAAACTCTTTAATGCAGTGTAATCATGTTTTAAAAAATATGTTACAGTAGTAAAATAACTCAAATGTTATAGTTAATGTATTTTAACAACACCATTTAATGTAAATAATGATAATAATTTACAAAAAGACAGAAAAATAACAAAATATGCAGATTTTCCAAAATGTTTTTTATGAATTAATACATTCATAAAAATACATTTTATTTAATTTTTAAAAAGTTAAAGTTTAACTTCGTTGAATTTCACATTAATGCCTCAATTTGTATTAATACTTTTATTTAAAAAACTATATTTCCAGTATCAAATACGTATAGATACTTTTAAGTAAATATATATATAAGGAAAGACTCAGAGAAAGGGTTAAAGATATAAAAATAATATATATAATAATAATAATAATAATCACAGAAGAAGTTTGAGTGACATATCATTTAATTAAAATAAATATTATTTGTAAATACGTTTATTGAACAGACGGCTGAGAGGTAAAGAGGATCTCAGAGGAACTCGCTGATGAAGCAGATCAGGTTGAGATGCATGCTGGGAAATGTAGGCGATTACATTACATGACATGTCACCTGTTAGACGCTTTTATCCAAAGCGACTTACATACTCAATACTGTGGGCAATCCCCACAGGAGCACTTTGGGGTGAAGTGTCTCAGGGACACAACGACATGCTGACTGCAGTCGGGTTTGAACCTGTGACCCCCTGATCCCAACACCAACGCACAACCCACTGCACCACACGCCTCCCCATGATGACAGTCAATCATGTCCTTGAACTGTTGTTTATTACATATTACACACTCTGAAATAAATATCTCGTAATTTTTTACTTGTCGACTCGTGTGTGTGTGTGTGTGTGTGTGTGTGTGTGTGTGTGTGTGTGTATGTTAGCTCTCATTAGATTTCCTGAAACAGCTGCTCACTGTAGCAAACAATTAGCATGAGATGCTAAGTGTGTTGTTGCTAATATTTAGCTTATTTGATTTAGATATTCAGCTAAAATATGTGGTAGACCTATACTGTACTACTTAATACTTTCTAGTCACCGTTTCTCTGCTGAAAACATCTGTGTTCACATCAGAAGGAGAGCCAGCTAACGTTAGCTGTTAGCAGCTGTTAGCAGCATTAGCACAGTCCTGCTTGGCTAAATAACAGAGCTAACGGCTAACAGCTAACGGCTAACAGCTAACGGAGGCTGCTTTAAGTTACATAGTGATGTGTTCAGGCTAAAAACGAGTATTAGGAAAAGCTGGCGTCATCATGATGTGTTTGAATGTAATCCTGTAAAATGTAGCTTCTGTTGAGAAAGCGTTGTTGTTTTAGAAAGTGAAGAATTTTATGCAAAATGCGGATTTAAAAAAAATATATTTCGTTTTTTTTGTGGGGATTTTTGTAGAATATGGGATTTTTTTTAAATAAAGTGTGGATTTTTTAATGAAAGAGGGGAATAAAAAAAAATGAGGACTTTCTTTGAAGCTAGGTCTATTTTACAAATGGTGTAGTTTCTACTCCCGAGTGTTCCAGAGTTTTATATTGAGGTCAGTGTTACAGGAGAGGGGTTAACATGTGGAGTCTGCTGTGTGTTTTATAAACTCCGGACGGAGCAGACAGACGGTCAGACTCTGTCAATGATTCCTGACAGACCCTGACCTCTGACCTCTGCTGCCGCAAAACAACAACGCTATCTGTGGTTCTGCAGATACCGCTGCTGTTTAAAGAGTTACAGCGAAATGGTGTTTTAAAACGGGAGGACGCTTTTTGGGAGGAAAGGAATTTGAGAAAGTACCGGACGATGATTGTCAATTAATTAGGTAGTCGTTTTTATTTAAAGAGTATCAAAGAAATGGTAACAGGATGAACTTGCTGTGTAATATAGCTCATGCTTTATTTGTTCACCATCTATCACGTCTCCGGGCTTTTTTATATATTATATATCTTTTCACCAGCTTCTCATGCTACCAACAAAAAATAATTTAACCAAAGAAATGACAAAAAAGATCCCAAAACTGTATTTTTCATTGAGTTGGAAACGTTTTTCAGTAATTCACTTTAATATATATATTTTTTTTTAAGGAGATGTACCCTCTTTCCACAGCACGTAGAGATTGGGCTGATTGTATTATTAATTAAGATGTGTATTCTCTTTAAATATTTGCTTACTCATGGATTTTCCCCTAAGGTCAACATGTCATAATGTCCTGTTTTTCCACAGCTGTGCCACAATACAAATATAAATCAGGTTTTATTGAGAGTTTTGCTGAAATAACGCCCATGTTTCTGTTGTTTCGCAGTGAGCACCCCTAATTTCCCTGATTTACGTATCGCTGTCAATCACACCCAATGGAAGCCAATCAGAAAGCCGGGGACGGGCTGGCCGGGACGCAGAAGGAGGCGTCGCTGCGGGCGCTAATGCTACGTACCGGATACCAGCTGCTGCAGGTCGGAAATACACATAAAAAAACATCGTAAACATCCCGATAACACGGAGAGATTTAGACCTCTCTGATCTATTATAACCCCACGTGTTTCATCTTCTGTTCTTCATCATGCATAAAGTGCATTTTAACAATGAATAAATATACTGCCAGCGGGCTGCACATGTTGATTTCAACCAATGGTGGCTGAATGTACTCAAACAGGTTGAACGTACCATCTGTGCAGAAGCTTTTTGTTTGTCAGGGTTACAGAAACACGACAGGCCCTTTTTACATTAGACTTGGTAGAAAGATGTTTATGGACCAACAAAGAACCTGTGAAAACGTTGGAGCAAATCCAATGAATGGGAACGATTAGGTTCTACTGATGGAAACAGAACTGTTCTCTTCTAGCTCCTTGTTATTACCTTAACACAACATGAATAAACCTAAACATGGAGAGGTTCAGTTATTAGTCTCCAAACATCTGGAACAAACTCCCAGAAACCTGCAGGTCCGCTGCAACGAAGACTTTATCATCCAGGCTGGAGACCAGGGGCTAAATGTACTCAAACCAAAGTGTTGTTGAACTAAAGTTTTATTTCTGTGTTTGTGCTTCAGGAGAACGGGCAGCGGCGGTACGGCGGCCCCCCGCCCAGCTGGGACGGCCCCCCGCCGGAGAGAGGGAGCGAGATCTTCGTGGGAAAACTCCCGCGAGATCTGTTCGAAGACGAGCTGGTCCCACTGTGTGAGAAGGTGAAGATACCTTTACATTACAGCTTTATCTACTTAATCCAGTGTTGGTCCCTGAAGGCAGCATCTCCCTGGTCCAATGGGATCTCTCCATGTGATTTTGGATTATGTCAGAAAATAATCTCTGTGTCAAACAAAGGAGGCTAATGTTGGGCTATCAAGGAACTACAGCACGGTCACATGACTTCACCACCGCTAAGCTAAAGGTGGCTAATGTTGGACTATAAAGGAACTACAGCACGGTCACATGACTTCACGTCACCACCGCTAAGCTAAAGGTGGCTAATGTTGGGCTATAAAGGAACTACAGCACGGTCACATGACTTCACGTCACTACCGCTAAGCTAAAGGTGGCTAATGTTGGGCTATAAAGGAACTACAGCACGGTCACATGACTTCACGTCACCACCGCTAAGCTAAAGGTGGCTAATGTTGGGCTATAAAGGAACTACAGCACGGTCACATGACTTCACGTCACCACCGCTAAGCTAAAGGTGGCTAATGTTGGGCTATAAAGGAACTACAGCACGGTCACATGACTTCACGTCACCACCGCTAAGCTAAAGGAGGCTAATGTTGGACTATAAAGGAACTACAGCACGGTCACATGACTTCACGTCACCACCGCTAAGCTAAAGGCGGCTAATGTTGGGCGTGATGACGTTTAGTCGTCTCATTTAGACTCTTGTTAGCCACCAGTGGGGTATTTACTGATGTATTTGATCTGATCTAATCTTCTCTTCCAGTTCGGTAAGATCTACGAGGTGAGGATGATGATGGACTTTAACGGGAACAACCGAGGCTACGCCTTCGTCACCTTCTCCAACAAACTGGAGGCCAAAGCGGCGATGAAGCAGCTCAACAACTACGAGATCAGGTGAGCGTTTGTTTCTGTTTTTTTATCGACTATCTTCCCCGGTCGTTTTTAACCTCGTGTTTCTCTTCCCGCAGAAATGGCCGCCTCCTCGGAGTCTGTGCCAGCGTGGATAACTGCCGTCTGTTCGTGGGCGGGATTCCCAAAACGAAGAAGCGTGAGGAGATCCTGTCGGAGATGAGGAAGGTCACCGACGGGGTCGTGGACGTCATCGTGTATCCGAGCGCCGCCGACAAATCCAAGAACCGAGGATTCGCCTTTGTGGAGTACGAGAGCCACCGAGCCGCCGCCATGGCCCGACGCAAACTGCTGCCAGGTGAACAAATATATAAGATAATATGAATAATATGATATGAGACTTCTTTTATCTTGAACGGGCTCCCAGCACTACGCCCAAAGGCTATGCTCGTAGTGTTTATTTCGGACATTTAGGCGTAAACAAATCTACGGAGCTGATTGTTAGCTTCACTTTCCTTATGGTCTTTATGGTTTCATGTGTTTGCGACTTCCTCTCCGTTAGCTCCGTTATTTAGCCGAGCAGCACTGTGGTAACAGCTGAGGGCTAAAAGCTAACGTAAGCTAGCTCTGCTTCTGTTGTTAACTTTTTTTTCTTGACAGAGGCGTTTGGTCCGTCCATAAAACGTTACTTTCTTTAACTATAACTTCTTGAATTTAATTTCAAAGTCATTCTCCATTTAGAAAACCTGCATGTTTTTGCCAAAAAGCAAATTAAATCTTTGGAAAATCCATTTCAAAACACAGATAATTGGATAATTCTTAGTTTTAATCATCATATATTTCCTCATCTTTGCACACGCCACCAGGAAGATATTTAAAATCTTCCTGGACGCGACTGTCTGCTGAAACTCATGCGGATATAATTCAGAGTTTCTTTAAAGCAGTCAAAGTACCAACATTACATCTCGTAAAAAAATGCCAAAGTCTACTTCTGTCCGACTGTAAGACGCCGTTATCAGCAGCCAATCACAGGCGGTGCCCCGGGGTCAGCGTCCAATTGGAGACGGAGCTCTGCACATGATAAACTCTATGACATTTATCCGAAGCGAGCATAAACACGGTGTTTCTGCTAACGTCGGCGTGCTGGTCGTCACGTTTCAGGGACTAATTATTTGTTAAACTGTGGGATAAAGGCGTGCTGCTTCTCCTTCAGAGATAAGAGAGATAAACAGTTTTTATTGGTTTACGTAACGCTGGATGTTTGTGCAACAAGAACATTATGAACCTCATCCTGATTTCATTACGATGCACCTTTCTGCAGTTTTTATAGAAACAACGCCCTTTAAGATGCATATTAACAATATGAAGACTGTTTATAAGACTATATATCAATAACAACCCATTAGGAAGGGAAGTTAGCATCACTAATATATTGACTTTAGTGAGTTTTCTGTTTGAATTTATCCATGAAATGCTGAAATATGAGTGCAGTAGATTTATGGCCAACAGGTTAATGTTTGCTTTTATTATAAGAAAGGTTGAATATACCGTCCACAACTGAGCAGAAGCTACAGAAACACGACAGGCCCTTTTTACATTAGACTTGGTAGAAAGATGTTTATGGACCAACAAAGAACCCGTGAAAACGTTGGAGCAAATCCAATGAATGGGAACGATTAGGTTCTACTGATGGAAACAGAACTGTTCTCTTCTAGCTCCTTGTTGTTACCTTAACACAACATGAATAAACCTAAACATGGAGAGGTTCAGTTATTAGTCTCCAAACATCTGGAACAAACTCCCAGAAACCTGCAGGTCCGCTGCAACGAAGACTTTATCATCCAGGCTGGAGACTTCTCTTTCTGCCGCTGCTTTTAATTTAACTATTCATATCTCACACTGCACTGTACCTGTTAGTCACCTGTTAGTCATGTACCTGTTAGTCACCTGTTAGTCACCTGTTAGTCACCTTTTAGTCACCTGTTAGTCACCTGTTAGTCACCTTTTAGTCACCTGTTAGTCACATTTTAGTCACCTGTTAGTCACCTGTTAGTCACCTGTTAGTCACCTGTTAGTCACCTGTTAGTCATGTACCTGTTAGTCACCTGTTAGTCACCTTTTAGTCACCTGTTAGTCACCTGTTAGTCACCTGTTAGTCATGTACCTGTTAGTCATGTACCTGTTAGTCACATGTTAGTCACCTGTTAGTCACCTGTTAGTCACCTGTTAGTCATGTACCTGTTAGTCACCTGTTAGTCACCTGTTAGTCACCTGTTAGTCACCTGTTAGTCATGTACCTGTTAGTCACCTGTTAGTCACCTGTTAGTCACCTGTTAGTCATGTACCTGTTAGTCACCTGTTAGTCACCTGTTAGTCACCTGTTAGTCATGTACCTGTTAGTCACCTGTTAGTCACCTGTTAGTCACCTGTTAGTCACCTGTTAGTCATGTACCTGTTAGTCACCTGTTAGTCACCTGTTAGTCATGTACCTGTTAGTCACCTGTTAGTCACCTGTTAGTCATGTACCTGTTAGTCACCTGTTAGTCACCTTTTAGTCACCTGTTAGTCACCTGTTAGTCATGTACCTGTTAGTCATGTACCTGTTAGTCACATGTTAGTCACCTGTTAGTCACCTGTTAGTCACCTGTTAGTCACCTGTTAGTCATGTACCTGTTAGTCACCTGTTAGTCACGTACCTGTTAGTCACCTGTTAGTCACCTGTTAGTCACCTGTTAGTCATGTACCTGTTAGTCACCTGTTAGTCACCTGTTAGTCACCTGTTAGTCATGTACCTGTTAGTCACCTGTTAGTCACCTGTTAGTCACCTGTTAGTCACCTGTTAGTCATGTACCTGTTAGTCACCTGTTAGTCACCTGTTAGTCACCTGTTAGTCATGTACCTGTTAGTCACCTGTTAGTCACCTGTTAGTCACCTGTTAGTCACCTGTTAGTCACCTGTTAGTCACCTGTTAGTCATGTACCTGTTAGTCACCTGTTAGTCACCTGTTAGTCACCTGTTAGTCACCTGTTAGTCATGTACCTGTTAGTCACCTGTTAGTCATGTACCTGTTAGTCACCTGTTAGTCACCTGTTAGTCATGTACCTGTTAGTCACCTGTTAGTCATGTACCTGTTAGTCATGTACCTGTTAGTCACCTGTTAGTCACCTGTTAGTCATGTACCTGTTAGTCATGTACCTGTTAGTCACCTGTTAGTCATGTACCTGTTAGTCATGTACCTGTTAGTCACCTGTTAGTCACCTGTTAGTCATGTACCTGTTAGTCACCTGTTAGTCATGTACCTGTTAGTCACCTGTTAGTCACGTACCTGTTAGTCACGTTTTATTATCTCTGCTTTTAAATTACTGTTTTTAAATGTTATATGTTTCTGCTGCACTATTTCTTAATGCTCTTAAAGGTCACCTATTATGCAAGATCCACTTCCTCATGTCTCTTCTACATCAACATGTGTCCCCTCTTCTTCATGTCTCTTCTACATCAACATGTGTCCCCTCTTCTTCATGTCTCTTCTACATCAACATGTGTCCCCTCTTCTTCATGTCTCTTCTACATCAACATGTGTCCCCTCTTCTTCATGTCTCTTCTACATCAACATGTGTCCCCTCTTCTTCATGTCTCTTCTTCATCAACATGTGTCCCCTCTTCTTCATGTCTCTTCTTCATCAACATGTGTCCCCTCTTCTTCATGTCTCTTCTACATCAACATGTGTCCCCTCTTCTTCATGTCTCTTCTACATCAACATGTGTCCCCTCTTCTTCATGTCTCTTCTACATCAACATGTGTCCCCTCTTCTTCATGTCTCTTCTACATCAACATGTGTCCCCTCTTCTTCATGTCTCTTCTTCATCAACATGTTGTCCCCTCTTCTTCATGTCTCTTCTTCATCAACATGTGTCCCCTCTTCTTCATGTCTCTTCTACATCAACATGTGTCCCCTCTTCTTCATGTCTCTTCTACATCAACATGTGTCCCCTCTTCTGCATGTCTCTTCTTCATCAACATGTGTCCCCTCTTCTGCATGTCTCTTCTTCATCAACATGTGTCCCCTCTTCTGCATGTCTCTTCTTCATCAACATGTGTCCCCTCTGTGGAAAGAGACTCTCTTTTTGTCCTGATCCATTTCTATAAAAACCTGTCTGAAAATGAGCTGATCAGATTTTGAATCTCCTCCTAGAGCACCATGGAGTTCTTTGTAACCAAATCTCTCTCAGAGGGGCGTGGGGAGGGGCTCCTTATTTTCATCTAAAGTAACAGACAGAGAATCAGCACTTTGGAAACAGGGCTGAAACAGAGGGGGTTATGGGTAATGCTGCAATGATCTGTTTGGTGTTTCAGCCAATCAGAGACAGGCTCTGGATATATCTGAGAGCTGTGATATATTGATGAGAAACAGGATAATAGGGGACCTTTAAAGTCTTTAATGTGTTGAAAGCTGCCATATAAATAAACCTGCCTCTCGTCTCCCAGGTCGTATCCAGCTGTGGGGTCACGCCATCGCCGTGGACTGGGCGGAGCCGGAGGTGGAGGTGGACGAAGACACGATGGCGTCCGTGAAGATCCTGTACGTCAGGAACCTGATGCTGCAGACCACCGAGGAAACCATCGAGAAGGAGTTCAACAACCTCAGACCCGGTACGGAGCAACACCAAAACACAACTCGCACTAATGCACATTTCCCAAAGATATTGATGTGTCTGTTATTTTGTATGTATTGATTGTTGTGCTTTTATTCATGTCTTAATGTGTGCACATGTATAAATGTGTCTGTTGATTGTGTATATACAGGATATACATATGTTTATACATATTTGTATATATATTTGGGATTGTGGGAAACGGTATTTCGATCTCTCTGTCTGTGAAAGAAAGATTGACAATAAAGTTGACTTTGACTTTAGACTTTGAACTCGTGAGCTTCGTAGTTCATGAAGGCCTCATGAAGGCCGAATAAAGATCTAACTGGATTTAATAAAATGGTTTGTTGTGTTGCAGGTGCGGTGGAGCGCGTGAAGAAGATCAGAGATTACGCCTTCGTGCATTTCACTCAGAGAGAAGACGCCATCAGCGCCATGAACGCCCTCAACGGGAAGGTAGGACTTTTGATCTGGGGCGACTGGTCTTTCAATCAGAGGGTTGTGAGTTCGATCCCAACTTTGGGATCTGATTTCTGAAAAAAGTTAAATTTTCAAATTCAGACCAAAGAGTTAAACCCAGAGAAAAAAGTTGAATTAGGCACAAAATAAGTACATTTATGAGAAACATTTCATAACTGAGAAAAAAAGTTGAATTCTACGAAAAAAATCAGCATTCTGAATAAAAGTCAAATTCAGAGAAAAAAGTAAGATTTTGAGAAAAAAGTAAGATTTTGAGAAAAAAGTAAGATTTTGAGAAAAAAGTAAGATTTTGAGAAAAAAGTTACATTTTGAGAAAAAAGTTACATTTTGAGAAAAAAAGTTACATTTTGAAAAAGTCTAAATCCGAGAGAAAAACTGAATTCTGAGGAAAATGTTACGGGCCGTCTCCACAGCAGCGTTAAAAAATCTTGAAACGCTTCTGCCCATTCACTTTGAATGGGGGTGACGTCACTTTCCCTCACTTTTCGCCGAAATGCATTGTGGGCAGGCGAGCGGAGATTCTCAGGATTTTCAAGATTCAAAGTTGAACAATGTTCAACTTTTGAGGCTGAGGTGGAAGCGGCAGCCAATCAAATCCCGTGTACGCAAATCTGGCAGTTCAAGCTCTAGCCAATCAAACGGCGTGTATGCTGGGAGAGACATACCGCAGGTCATTTCCTCATATTCCAAAAAATGGAGGAGAAATTAGCGGTAGCGAATCAATCACCCGGTGCTTTATGACCAGACCTACCGGGATATAAACCGGAGGAGCCAGGCATGGAGGGAGGTGGCAGAGACAGTGGTATGTTTTCGCCTGTTTTGGGAGTTTATATCCAGTTTACTTCGGGCTTTTTGGCTTCGTATGTCGCGGGCGGGAGATTCATGTGATTGGTTGATCGCAAAAAAATCCCCAAGCCTCAGATACGCCCACCTCCAAGATTTTTTTAACGCTGCTGTGGAGACGGTCCGTTAGATTCTGAGAAAAAGTCCAACAACCAGGAAAAGATAGAACTGAACCTCAGCATAACAGGAACAAACTAACTACCAAACCTCTCAAAAGGACCTCACCTTTGACTCTGAACCCCCAGATGGTGGACGGCTCTCCCATCGAGGTGACTCTCGCTAAGCCTGTGGACAAAGACAGTTACGTCCGATACACCCGAGGGACGGGAGGACGGGGGGGCGTCTCTGCTGCAGACGGACTACACCGCCTACACCCTGGGACAGGTAACCATTCTGGACGCATTCAAATAGAGGCGCTAAAATGATCTTTTAATTTGGCGCCGTGCTAGGTGGCAGCAGCTCCATGTGTTTTATTGACTTTTTTCTTTTTTAACTACTTTATTGATGATGATACACATGTCATCAGTCATGCACCGTTTGCACTAACACAGACGCACATACTGACAATGGCGACCTATTGCACAACCCTCATGGCCAACATTTAAATGTGTATTACATCACATGTGAGTGTGGAGCAGCTCAATGGAGGCAGGAATGAGTGCTCATAGCGGTTCAGCCTGATCTTGGGAACCCTGCATCTTCTACCAGAAGAGAGGAGCTGGAATTCTGGGTGGAGTATAAACACTTTATAAACGTTCCTCCAGGTGTACGACCCCTCGGCGGCGTACCTCGGCCCCCCCGTGTTCTACGCCCCGCAGGCGTACGCCACCATCCCGGGTCAGTTTCGCTTCCCGCCGGCAGCCAAAGCTCACGTTGGAGGTCGAGGTTTGATCCGGACTCCGTCTGTCAGAGGTGAGCTCTCATTCCCCCCCCGATCGAAAACAGAAGACGTTACACGGTGATCCACTGAATCAGAAGTGAAGCTTTTATGAATGAAATATTAAATCAACAAAGATGTGATGTCATCCTTCTTCCTGTTCTCTCTGATTGAATAACGTGTGATTTTTTTCCTCCCGGTTGATTTCCCGGTGATTTGATTGATTTCACTGCCTTTTCGATTTCCTGTAGACATTTACATGACTGTACCTGTAGGGGCAGCGGGGGTGCGGGGGCTTGGGGGGCGGGGCTACCTAGCCTACGCCCCCGCAGGTGTTGGGGGGGGCGGAGCCTGTTACGGACTGAAGGCGGATAAACAGGCGGAGGAGAAACTGTACGACCTGCTGCCCGGCATGGAGCTCACCCCCATGAACCCAGGGAGCATGAAGGCTGCCGCCATCAAGCCCGCCACCCAGGTGAGGGCCTGGAGGAGTGTGTTGTGTGTGTTGTCCTGGATCTTAACAGTGTGTGTGTGTGTGTGTGTGTGTGTGTGTGTGTGTGTGTGTGTGTGTGTGTGTGTGTGTGTGTGTGTGTGTGTGTGTGTGTGTGTGTGTGTGTGTGTGTGGTGTGTGTGTGTGTGTGTGTGTGTGTGTGTGTGTGTGTGTGTGTGTGTGTGTGTGTGTGTGTGTGTGTGTGTGTGTGTGTGTGTGTGTGTGTGTGTGTGTGTGTGTGTGTGTGTGTGTGTGTGTGTAGGTCCTGGAGGAGTTGTGTGTTGTGTTGTTGTGTTGTTCTATCGTGGATCTTAACGTTGTGTGTGTTCGAGGTCCTGAGTCCAGAGGCCTGTGCTACGAAGCCGGTTCAACCTAACCTGGATATGTTGGAGTTAGCCGGTTGGCCCAATCCAAAACATACGCGCTCTCGCTAAACTGTACTACGACGCTGGTTATCAAGTGGATCGCTCAAGCCAGCCGTGTCCTATCTAGTTAGGTGCGCGTTCACATGAAAGGGGCGGGGTTAGCAACATTTGACCAATCACAAACATGGACAAGCGTACTGACAGCGCAGCGTCATACTTCCTGAATGAAAAGTGAACTTTAATATTAGTCAAATATGAAGAAGTTAAACTTTAAACATCCATGACTTAAACACTTTATCCAGGATCAAAGCCACATAGCTGCACCTGCAAGGTGAATACAGCTGGTAACAGAGAAAGTGTTTGAATGCGTACATTAACAGGTTTATGATATCACTGCCCCGTCTAAGACACGATCTGACTTTAATTACATTTGACTCGAGTGTTTCGTCAACTTAATGTGTTGCTTAAAATAATACTTCTGCATCCAGTATGTGACACTGTGAGTGTTGCACGGCCAGATACGGCTCAGCTGACTCAGATAAGGAAATATATGATACATTATGATGTGATATGATATGAATGATAATGGGACACATCGACGTCTGCACTCACAGTGCCGCGGACTGTACTTAATGTTACTCTGATCCGGTTACTTATGTTGTGGCAGATATTTAAGTAAGCTTTCTTAACGCTAATGTTATAATAGTCAGATTGCTCTGAAGATGGGAGGAGGGGATATTCTATTAATGTTCACGTTCACACAGTCAGTTGATTTTTGCCGGCCGTCTTTCCTGCAACGGCAGTTTTTCTGTATTTCCTCTATCCTGTAATATGAACTGATCGCTTTAAACTCCGCACACTGAGCTCTGATTGGTCAGCAGGCGGTGCTTTCACTGAGTTGATCTCCGGAGCAGGTTAGCCGCTCAGCATAAGTTACCATGGAGGTCTAGCCCGCTAAGAAGAGAACCAGCGTCGTAGGACCGGAAACCCAGAGTTTACCCTGAAGTTAGCTAAGAGAACATCCGGCTTCGTAGTACAGGCCTCTGGAGGAGTTGTGTGTGTTGTTGTGTGTTGTTGTGTGTGTTGTGTGTTGTTGTGTGTATTGTGGTGTTGTGTGTTGTCCTGGATCTAAACCCTGTGTGTGTCTCAGGTTCTGGAGGAGTTGTGTCAGAAGAACAGCTGGGGTCAGCCGGTCTATCAGCTCCACTCGGCCATCGGCCCGGACCAGAGACAGCTGTTCCTCTACAAGATCTCCATCCCCCAGTACCCCAACCTGTGAGAGTTCATATATCATATATATCTATATTTATTAACAGCTTTATTTTCAAAGGAAGTCCAAGTTTTTTCTGGTAAATTAAAGTCTTTAATCCCGGAGAATATCTGAAAAAAAAGGTCAACATTTTAAAAAAAAAGTCAAAATCTGAGAAATAAATCTGAAGTCTGAGGAAAATGTCAAACAACCAGGAAAAGACACAACTGGACCTCGAGGAGAAATACAATGGACAAACTAACTACCATAGAATCTCAAAAGGACCTCCACCTTAATCCCATAATATAAGTTTTTTGCCTAATCAACAGATGTTATTTCAGAGAACATTCTTGTTTCTTCTTGCAAATTAACAATTTAACCACAGAAAATATTGAAATGTACTTCTTGAATATAACAACTTAGATAATATAGTACTTAATGTTTCTTCCTTGTATCTCTACTCTTTGGTGTTCTCTGGCTGTAGACATCCCTTCACGCCCGCTAAGCTGTGCGTGGCGGTAGAGGAAGCTAAAGTCCACGCCGCGGAGCACACGCTGCAGACGCTCTGCCTTCAGACGGAGGGCAGCGACGCCGCCGGAGCCGCCGCTATCGCCTCGGTAGCCTTCCCAGGTATGTGAAGGTCCGTACCCAAGTCAACTAACTCTTTTAACTCTCACTTAACAAACACTAACTCTTAACAAAGACTAACTCTTTACAGACATTAACTCTCACCTTACAAACACTAACTAACTCTTTACAAACACTAACTCTTAACAAACACTAACTCTCACCTTACAAACACTAACTAACTCTTTACAAACACTAACTAACTCTTTACAAACACTAACTAACTCTTTACAAACACTAACTAACTCTTTACAAACACAAACTAACTCTTTACAAACACTAACTAACTCTTTACAAACACAAACTAACTCTTTACAAACACTAACTAACTCTTTACAAACACTAACTAACTCTTTACAAACACAAACTAACTCTTTACAAACACTAACTAACTCTTTACAAACACTAACTAACTCTTAACAAAGACTAACTAACTCTTTACAAACACTAACTAACTCTTAACAAACACTAACTCTCTTTACAAACACTAACTAACTCTTTACAAACACTAACTAACTCTTTACAAACACTAACTAACTCACCTACAAACACTAACTAACTCTTTACAAACACTAACTACTCTTTACAAACTACTAACTCTTTACAAACACTAACTAACTCTTTACAAACACTAACTAACTCTTTACAAACACTAACTAACTCTTTACAAACACTAACTAACTCTTTACAAACACTAACTAACTCTTTACAAACACTAACTAACTCTTTACAAACACTAACTAACTCTTAACAAACACTAACTCTCACCTTACAAACACTAACTAACTCTTTACAAATACTAACTAACTCTTTACAAACACTAACTAACTCTTTACAAATAGTAACTAACTCTTTACAAACACTAACTAACTCTTTACAAACACTAACTAACTCTTTACAAACACTAACTAACTCTTAACAAAGACTAACTAACTCTTTACAAACACTAACTAACTCTTAACAAAGACTAACTAACTCTTTACAAACACTAACTAACTCTTTACAAACACTAACTAACTCTTTACAAACACTAACTAACTCTTAACAAACACTAACTAACTCTTTACAAACACTAACTAACTCTTTACAAACACTAACTAACTCTTAACAAACACTAACTCTCACCTTACAAACACTAACTAACTCTTTACAAACACTAACTCTTTACAAAGACTAACTCTTAACAAACACTAACTAACTCTTTACAAACACTAACTAACTCTTTACAAACACTAACTCTTTACAAACACTAACTCTTAACAAACACTAACTAACTCTTAACAAACACTAACTCTCACCTTACAAACACTAACTAACTCTTAACAAACACTAACTAACTCTTTACAAACACTAACTCTTTACAAACACTAACTCTTAACAAACACTAACTCTCACCTTACAAACACTAACTAACTCTTTACAAACACTAACTCTTTACAAACACTAACTCTTAACAAACACTAACTAACTCTTTACAAACACTAACTAACTCTTTACAAACACTAACTCTTAACAAAGACTAACTAACTCTTTACAAATACTAACTAACTCTTAACAAAGACTAACTAACTCTTTACAAATACTAACTAACTCTTTACAAACACTAACTCTTTACAAACACTAACTAACTCTTTACAAACACTAACTCTTAACAGACACTAACTCTTTACAAACACTAACTCTAACCTTACAAACACTTACTCTCATTTTACAAACACTAACTAACTCTTTACAAATACTAACTAACTCTTTACAAACACTAACTAACTCTTTACAAACACTAACTCTTAACAAAGACTAACTAACTCTTTAAAAAGACTAACTAACTCTTTACAAATACTAACTAACTCTTTACAAACACTAACTAACTCTTTACAAACACTAACTCTTAACAGACACTAACTCTTTACAAACACTAACTCTAACCTTACAAACACTTACTCTCATTTTACAAACAAAACTCTGGATAAAAAGTCAAATCTGAGGAAAAGTCTGAAGTCGAAATGTCTGAGAAAAGGTCACAATTCTGAATAAAAGTCAAAATATGAGAAAAAGTCAAAATTCTGAATAAAAGTCAAAATATGAGAAAAAGTCAAAATTCTGAATAAAAGTCAATATTCTGAGAAAAAGGTCAAAAATCTGAGGAAAAAGTAAAAAATATGAGGAAAAAGTAAAAATTCTGAGGAAAAGTCTGAAGTCTAAATTTCTGAGAAAAGGTAATAATTCTGAAAAAAAAGTCAAATATGAGAGAAAAAAGTAAAAATTCTGAATAAAAGTAAAAAAAAGCGAAAAAAAAAGTAAAAATCTGAGGAAAAGACAAATTCTGAGAAAAAGTGAAAAATCTGAGGAAAAGTCTGAAGTCAATATTCTGAGAAAAAGGTCAAGATTCTGAGAAAAAGTCAAAAATCTGAGGAAAAAGTTAATATTCTGAGAAAAAGTCAAACATCTGAGGAAAAGGTAAAAAATATGAGGAAAAGTCTGAAGTCGACATTTCTGAGAAAAAGTCAAAATTCGGAATAAAAGTCAAAATATGAGAACAAATCTAAAATTCTTAGTAAAAAAGGCAAATCTAAGAAAGATCGAAAAAATGTGGAAAAAGTCCAAATCTGAGAACAAGTCAAATCTGAGAAAAAAATATAACTATGATAAAAACGACATTTTGAGTAGAAAGTCAAATAAAAAAAATATTCTGAGAACAAATCCCGAAAAAACTCAAATTCTGAGAAAAAGTAAAAATGTTCTCTCTTTGGTCTCTCTCCTCTCTCTGGTCTCTCTCCTCTCTCTGGTCTCTCTCCTCTCTCTGGTCTCTCTCCTCTCTCTGGTCTCTCTCCAGGTTATGCTCTGGCGAGTCCTGCAGCTGCTCTGAAGCAGGCGGTGTCTCTCGGCCAGGATCTGACTGCCTACGCCACCTACGAGGGGTTCCCCGCCTTTGCCGTGGCGACGCGCCACTCAGACGGATACGGCGTCTTCTAGAAGAGTCCGACCGCTCGCAGCCACAGACACGTTCACACTAAAATCACCAGGACAGGAAGTTAACCCTACCAAAATAAAAGCACAATAGTGTGAATGCTCCTTTAAACTGCAGTTTTTAAACAGGAAGACACTTTTTAAAACCCGCCGCTGGAAAACGTTTTGTCGCTCACCCTGAAATAAATTCCTTCACATCTTTTTATTCATATTATCCTCTGAATTTTGCATATTTACGATTTATTTTGTGATTTACTAAGGAGTTTTCAGACGGCCTGTGATTGGCTGCAGGTTTGAATTAATATTTAATCATTTATTTTGTTTTTTAAGCAGTTTTTAGTTTGTTTGCGTGTTTTAAGTAGTACGTTTACAGTAAGGCTTAATAGATTTTGTTATTTTTATTCTTTGAGTTATTATCGCTATGAAAATTGGGATTTGTAGTTCTTTTAACGTCCGCCAACTGTAAAATGTAGTTTTGCACTCTCGTCTTCTTCAGTGGTTTTGATGCTGTCTGAATAGTCACTGAGGAGTCCTGGACTTTGTAGTTCTTTAAACGGTTTCTTAGATCTAAGCTTGTCCTCCCCCATTCTGAATTCAATCATCGTATTTAAAGCAAAGACCTGAATGTAAACCTCAGGAACATCAGCGTTGGGTTTTTCTGTCGAGTTTCTTCTCCAACGTTTCAGTATTTTCGTGTTTACGCCGCGTGTCGTCTTCTGATGTCTTAAACGAGTCCGAAACACAAGACAGAAATGATCTCTTTCTCCGACAATTCAGAATATCTTTGTAAGTTTCCGGAGCGTTCTCGACACCGAGCGGACGTGCCGAACAGAGACAGTATTAAAGTGTTCCAAGCACTTAGAACTTATTTTTTTATACACGGAAAAAGATATCCAGACGCTTTCTGTAAAGAGTTAGTAATTGAAACAAGAAGCATGTGGAAGTGAATCAGCGCTAATCTGTGATCTGAGAGGTTCGTCATGATTTGGTGATTTCATTGTGATCCCTGATCTCCCCGAAATAAAGAAATGAACACAAATCTGAGGAGGCTCCACGTCTGCATTATTTAATCAATCTTATATATTTATATCTATTTATATCGTTTCTGTCTTTCGGTTTCACACTGTGTGTTTTACTCATATAACCAGAGGTGTAAAGTAAGTACATTTTCTGAAGTACTTATGTACAATTCTGAGATACTTGTACTTTACTTGAGTATTTCAATGTTATGCTTCTTTGTACTTCTACTCCCCTACAATTCAGAGGTACATGGTGTTCTACTTTTACTCAAGTACAAGATCTGAGTACTTCTACTTTTACTCAAGTACAAGATCTGAGTACTTCTACTTTTACTCAAGAACAAGATCTGAGTACTTCTACTTTTACTCAAGTACAAGGTCTGAGTACTTCTACTTTTACTCAAGTACAAGATCTGAGTACTTCTACTTTTACTCAAGTACAAGATCTGAGTACTTCTACTTTTACTCAAGTACAAGATCTGAGTACTTCTACTTTTACTCAAGTACAAGATCTGAGTACTTCTACTTTTACTCAAGTACAATATCTGAGTACTTCTACTTTTACTCAAGTACAAGATCTGAGTACTTATACTTTTACTCAAGTACAGTATCTGAGTACTTCTACTTTTACTCAAGTACAGTATCTGAGTACTTCTACTTTTACTCAAGTACAAGATCTGAGTACTTCTACTTTTACTCAAGTACAATATCTGAGTACTTCTACTTTTACTCAAGTACAAGATCTGAGTACTTCTACTTTTACTCAAGAACAAGATCTGAGTACTTCTACTTTTACTCAAGTACACGCTCTGAGTACTTCTACTTTGACTCAAGTACACGCTGTGAGTACTTATACTTTGACTCAAGTACACGCTCTGAGTACTTATACTTTGACTCAAGTACACGCTCTGAGTACTTATACTTTGACTCAAGTACACGCTCTGAGTACTTATACTTTGACTCAAGTACACGCTCTGAGTACTTATACTGTACTTTGACTCAAGTACACGCTCTGAGTACTTATACTTTGACTCAAGTACACGCTCTGAATACTTCCCCCCCCCCCCCAGAAACACAGGGTGATGATTTAATTCTCGCTTTTATTTTAAACTTTTCTTACATTTTCTTTGCAAAAATTCCTTTTATGCAAAAACTGGAATATTACAAAGGAGACATCAACAACAAGAGAGTTTAGTTTTTAGTCAAACTGATACTAGATGCTATCATTGTTAGCACTAAGATAGTCAGTCTCTCCATGTCAGCTGTTAGCATCGAGCTAGCTGGTGTTGTCTGCGTAAATATGTTTGTATGATTCTATAATAATACTTTACTGTAATGTAATATTCTGTGAACACTTCATCTTTGCATATTCTTTGGATCGTTTTGAAACGTCTTAAAGAACTCCATAGATCTTTAATATGAAATCAAATATCTTCTATAATAATGTTTCTTGATTTGACACTACTTGCTTTTAACATGTATCTGTCTGTACGTGAGGCACCAGTTAAAGAAAGCAAAGTGGATTCAAACCTGATCTAGCATTGTTAGCATCAAGCTAACGTCGTTCAACATCGAGTTAGTGATATTAGTTCGAAGCACGTTAGCTACCATCTCGTTAGCTGTTAGCATGGTGTTAGCGTGGAGCTAGCGGCCCACGCTGATGTTGCAGAGCTTGCAGCTGGGGTCCTTCTTGGCGTTGAGGGTGCTCTGACCCAGGAGCTGCTGCCCTGCGATCGGAGCGACCGTCCCCAGGTCCAGGTCCACGGCCTCGGTGTAGATCAGCTCCAGGATCAGGTCCTGCGCGTGGAGGAAGCTCAGCGAGCCGTCGGCCGCCGCGCCGCGCCGCAGGAACACGTTGCTCTCCGGGTCCAGCTCCGGCAGCCGGGCGCGGCAGAACGAGTCCCCGGAGGAGCCTCTGGGGGCCAGGACCAGGACCACGTAGTGGTACGACGTGTACATGCAGTAGAAATCCCCAAAGTACACGTTGGTGTTCTGGTTGAAGAGGGTTTCTGCTGGGACCTGTGCAGAAAGATCTACTTTAATGTGTTTATGATATTTACTGCAGGAGTCCGAAACCCTGACAAGTCTTTTCATAAATTACGACTTCATCTCATCTCTTAATCTCAAATCCAGTAGGAATCTCCAAAGTACACATATTTATTTGCATGAATTCATGTAATAATGCAAAATCCAAAAGAAAAATTCCATTTAACCAAAAACATGGTGCCTTCAGGGTCCACTGAAGGGAGGGTGCCTTCAGGGTCCACTGAAGGGAGGGTGCCTTCAGGGTCCACTGAAGGGAGTCTGTGTGTCTGGGTTAGTTTTGACTAAAGTACAAGATCAGAGTACCTGGAAGCGGTAGGGTCCGTACGGAGAGTCGTGGGGGGGCTTCCCGGTGTTGAACTCAGTGTTGCAGCTGAAGAAAAGCCCCTCCAGCTTCCCGCTGATGGGGGACCCGTGGCTGCCGCTGTGGTCTTTAACGGAGGGCAGCATGCGGCGGCACTGAGCGTCTCTGGAGCGGAACGATGGGCTGCGGGGGGGAACAGAGGGTTAACATTAAAGGTCACATATCATGCAAAATGCTCTTCTTCATGTCTCTTCTACATCAACATGTGTCCCCTCTTCTTCATGTCTCTTCTACATCAACATGTGTCCCCTCTTCTTCATGTCTCTTCTTCATCAACATGTGTCCCCTCTTCTTCATGTCTCTTCTACATCAACATGTGTCCCCTCTTCTTCATGTCTCTTCTACATCAACATGTGTCCCCTCTTCTTCATGTCTCTTCTACATCAACATGTGTCCCCTCTTCTACATGTCTCTTCTTCATCAACATGTGTCCCCTCTTCTTCATGTCTCTTCTACATCAACATGTGTCCCCTCTTCTTCATGTCTCTTCTACATCAACATGTGTCCCCTCTTCTTCATGTCTCTTCTACATCAACATGTGTCCCCTCTTCTTCATGTCTCTTCTTCATCAACATGTGTCCCCTCTTCTTCATGTCTCTTCTACATCAACATGTGTCCCCTCTTCCTCATGTCTGTTCTTCATCAACATGTGTCCCCTCTTCCTCATGTCTCTTCTTCATCAACATGTGTCCCCTCTTCTTCATGTCTCTTCTTCATCAACATGTATCCCCTCTTCTTCATGTCTCTTCTTCATCAACATGTGTCCCCTCTTCTTCATGTCTCTTCTTCATCAACATGTGTCCCCTCTTCTTCATGTCTCTTCTTCATCAACATGTGTCCCCTCTTCTTCATGTCTCTTCTTCATCAACATGTGTCCCCTCTTCTTCATGTCTCTTCTTCATCACCATGTGTCCCCTCTTCTTCATGTCTCTTCTTCATCACCATGTGTCCCCTCTTCTTCATGTCTCTTCTTCATCAACATGTGTCCCCTCTTCTTCATGTCTCTTCTACATCAACATGTGTCCCCTCTTCTTCATGTCTCTTCTTCATCACCATGTGTCCCCTCTTCTTCATGTCTCTTCTTCATCAACATGTGTCCCCTCTTCTTCATGTCTCTTCTTCATCACCATGTGTCCCCTCTTCTTCATGTCTCTTCTTCATCAACATGTGTCCCCTCTTCTTCATGTCTCTTCTTCATCACCATGTGTCCCCTCTTCTTCATGTCTCTTCTTCATCAACATGTGTCCCCTCTTCTTCATGTCTCTTCTTCATCACCATGTGTCCCCTCTTCTTCATGTCTCTTCTTCATCAACATGTGTCCCCTCTTCTTCATGTCTCTTCTTCATCAACATGTGTCCCCTCTTCTTCATGTCTCTTCTACATCAACATGTGTCCCCTCTTCTTCATGTCTCTTCTTCATCAACATGTGTCCCCTCTGTGTAAAGAGACTCTGAAAGTTTCAGGAACAAAGATTCTCTCTCTTTTTGATCCATTTCTATAAAAACCTGTCTGAAAATGAGCTGATCAGATTTTGACCACTTGATGTCATAATGATGTTTTGTCTTGTGTAACCATTAGCCAATCAGCACCAAGGTAACCCCCCCCCCCCCCCCCCTTATCACCTGAATCTCCTCCTAGAGCACCATTGAGTTCTTTGTAACCAAATGTCTCTCAGAGGGGCGTGGGGAGGGGCTCCTTATTTTCATCTAATTGACAATAAAGTTGACTTTGATCAAAAATAACAAAGTAAATAAAACAATAATGAAAGCCTGATAAAGGCTCTGCTCCACCTGTCCTGCTGGAAGTACTCCTCCGTCTGGTTCCTGTAGAACACGCTGAAGGGCAGCAGGCGGCCGGAGGTGAGCTCGGCTTTCTGCAGGAGCTGCTTCAGATGCACTGAGGAGTAATCTGTGATGAAGAGGAGAGGAAGAGTGATGAAGAGGAGAGGACGAGTATCATAAGGCGCTTTCACACCGCAGTACTTTTCCCACAAAGGTTCATGAGAACTCTTTAGTTCTCATGAACTAAAGAGTTCTTTCATGAGAACTAAAGAGTTCATGAGAACTCTTTAGTTCATGAGAACTCTTTAGTTCTCATGAACTAAAGAGTTCTAACCCTAGAGTTCTAACCCTAACCCTAACCCATGAACTCTTTAGTTCATGAGAACTCTTTAGTTCATGAGAACTAAAGAGTTCATGAGAACTAAAGAGTTCTCGAGAACTAAAGAGTTCATGAGAACTAAAGAGTTCTCGAGAACTAAAGAGTTCTCATGAACTCTTTAGTTCTCATGAACTAAAGAGTTCTCATGAACTAAAGAGTTCTCATGAACTAAAGAGTTCATGAGAACTCTTTAGTCTTAGTTCTCATGAACTCTTTAGTTCATGAGAACTCTTTAGTTCATGAGAACTCTTTAGTTCTCGAGAACTCTTTAGTTCTCATGAACTCTTTAGTTCTCATGAACTAAGTTCAGATCGCGTTCACACCGCAATGAGTCCCTGAGGGAGGATTAGGCAAATGAAGCCGCTGACGTCACTTCTTCTTCTGCTTTGGGTTTACTGGCAGGCCGCAAACCACTTCACGGCGTATACACACACATCCTCTGTTCAAGGTTCTTTATTGTCAATCTGACATAGCTACAGAGTAATTATGCAGTTGAAAATCTTATTTATTTGGTTATTTGATTGATTTATATACTGCATTGTCTTGTTTATGTTTCTTATGCTTGTGCATCTTGTTTTTTATGTATTTGTACGGCGACCTTGAGAGCCTTGAAAGGCGCCTATATAAAATAAATGAATTATTATTATTATTATTATACTGCCACCCGAAGTCCCCGGAGTTGGGGAAGGACTCCCAGCAGCTTCTACTGAAGCCTTCCGAGTACATCGCCAGAAGATAAGATAAGATCTTTAATTTGTCATTGTACAACGACATTACAATGTGAACTCAAGGTGCCAACGCGCAACAACAAGACAATATAAAAACAACAAGACAATATAAATTGTACGATTCCCCTCATATTGCACAGAAGACATGATAACTTAAATATTAGCAGCGTTTAGTGCACATACGGCCCTGGGAAAGAAACTAAACTTGAGTCTGTTTGTCTGAAGACATGGTACGGAAGCGCCTGCCTGAGCGCAGCCGTACAAAGTGCTCGTTACCCGGGTGCTGTGGGTCCTTGAGGGTCTTGACTGCCTTCTTAAGGCAACGAGAGCTGTACAGTACCTCCAGGGAGGGGAGAGGGCACCCGATGATCTTCTGGGCCGAGTTGACGACCCTTTGGAGCGCACCCCTCTCTGCGGCTGTGCAGCTGAGGAACCACAGATGCAGTAGGTGAGGATGCTCTCCACGGCGCAGCGGTAAAAGGACACAAGCAGGTCCTGTCTGAGGTGGAAGTAGAGTCTCTGCTGTGCCTTCTTGTCGGTCGCCGTGGTGTTGGTCCTCCAGGACAGGTCCTCCGTGGTGTTGGTCCTCCAGGACAGGTCCTCCGCCAGGTGAACGCCCAGGAATTTGAACACTGACACTCTCTCCACACAGCCTCCATAAATGTACAGGGGCTGCATGTCGGTCTTCTTCCTCCTAAAGTCAATGATCGTCTCCTGGGTTTTCAGCTTGTTCAGCTGCAGGTTGTTTACTTTGCACAACACTAACAGTTGCTCCACCTCGTCCTGGTACGCGGTCCCGTCACCCCCGGAGATGCAGCCCACCACGGTGGTATCATCAGCAAACTTTATGATAGAGTTGCTGCGAGATCGTGGGTGTAGAGGGCGTATAGTAGGGGGCTCAGCACGCAGCCCTGTGGTGCCCCGGTGCTGAGACTGAGGGACGTGGAGGTGTGGGGGCCTATCCTCACCCTCTGGGGGCGATCAGTCAGGAAGTCCTTAATCCATAGGCACAAGGAATGGGATACTCCCAGGACTGATAGCTTGGTCACCAGTCTGTCGGGGAGGATGGTATTAAATGCCGAGCTGAAGTCCACGAAGAGCATCCGTGCGTAGCTCCCACTTCTCTCCAGATGAGACAGGGTAGAGTGGAGAGCTGTGGCGATGGCGTCCTCCGTGGACCTGTTGGCCCAGAACACCGGCACCTCCTCATCTCCACCGCTCCCATGTTTTCTTTTGTGTTGCCATAAGTTAGTCTTTTTTTTCCTTTTTTTTATTGTACAGGCTACAGACACAAAACATGGACAATATCCAATATCATCAAAAGCATTTATTATTCCTTTTTATCCCACTCTTCGCTAGAGCTGATTGTTTCCCATTTCATGGTGTGTTGACCCACCCTTTGATTCTTTGTGGCAATTATCCTTTCCAAAATAAATTGTGTTTTTAATCTACTTTTCACACACCTTTAAAGGGGACCTATCATGCAAAATGCACTTGTGTACGTCTTTTCTACATGAATATGTGTCCCCGGTGTTCCAGGGAACTCACCAAGTGTCAGAAAACACAACCCTCTCTATTTTCCTCCATACCCAAATCTCTAAAAAAGGGGCTGCAACGGATCTGATAAAAACTGATCCAGATTTGAACACTGTCCTGACGTCAGGACGGTGGCGCTACGGCTATTGGGCCAACTCCACCAATCAGGAGGAGACAACCACGGCCATTGCCGTTCGAAAGCGCTGGAGACGCTGTAGTACATATGCCAGGCCTGTAGGTGGTGCTGTTCTCACTGAATCTGCCCTTGCTAAAACAGAGCTAAAAATTGTCAAATTGAGCGAAATGAGGCATGGCTAAAATGCATGACCTGTTTGGTATTTTGAAAAAAAAAAAGTATAAATATGCCTTATATAGGTATGGCCCTACACTATATTATTCAAATATAGCATGATAGGTCCACCTTAAATTCAGATTTGTCCTTGATTGAGTTTTAAAAATAAGTATTTTTGCCAGAAGAATAATTGTATTTATGAACGGTGTACTGTCCTCATCCAAAAGCCCAAACAAAAGACCAAAGGGAGTAAATGCAAAATCAATATAAAGTGTCTTAAGCCAGTTTTGCAACGTATGGATAAAAAGAAGATAAATGCATCTGGCCTTCCTCTTCCTCCTCACAGAATCTACAAAGTGGTTCGATATTAAAAGTGTTGAGTTGTTTTTTTTAGCGATAATCTTGTAAAAGATCTTCAGTTGGAAGATTCTTGAACAGGAATGAAGTGTTATTTTGTTTATGGTTCTAAAACATTGTTTCCAGGGTATCAGAATATTAAATTCTTCTTCCCAGAGAGAACAGACCGCATGAGGAAAAGCAGCGAGGCCCTTGCTCTGTGATTATACATGATTTTATTTATTTTCATTGTTGATAGCCATGTCTGACTTCTTGTATGAGGTGCACAGACATGTTGTCAGTTTCCATCTTTTTTTAATGTACGTTTCCAGTTAGTTGGAATAGCTGAAAGCAGCTGGTTAAAGTGAAGGAACACATCTGACCGTACATACAGAGAAAACACTGATATGAAATGAAACGACCCGAGCTATCTAGTAAATCATTCATGTCTCAGGAGACTTTCCCATAAAAGTGGTTTTCCATCTATTAAAACTTCTGAGTTCAACCATATTCATTGATTTTGGATTTCTTCCGGTGTATCTGGAGGGTAAGTTAGTCTCTCTCCATTGGTGCGCTGGGCTAATGCTAATGCTAATAATGCTAATGCGAGGATAATAAAATGGCGGCTTCACAAAACTTTTTGGGAGTTTTACGGGGCGTGGTTTGCATTCCTCCCAGCCAATCAGAAAGAGGAACCTTTTTCTCCCACGAAAGTCCCTGCTCTCTAGCCGGGACGGGAAAGAGGGTGAAAAGGTTCATGAACTCATTTAGTTACGGCTCTTTTTGGTGTGAACGCGCCTATAGGAACTGAGGAGTAATCTGTGATGAAGAGGAGGGGACGAATGAAGAGGAACTGAGGAGAGGAAGAGTGATGAAGAGGAGAGGAAGAATGATGAAGAGGAGAGGAAGAATGAGTAAAGAGGTAAAGAGTAATTTAAATAAATTAAGATAAATCAAACTGAATTAAATTAATGTGTGATGTGTTCAGGGACCCAGGGGTGTGATGTGTTCAGGGACCCAGGGGTGTGATGTGTTCAGGGACCCAGGGGTGTGATGTGTTCAGGGACCCAGGGGTGTGATGTGTTCAGGGACCCAGGGGTGTGATGTGTTCAGGGACCCAGGGGTGTGATGTGTTCAGGGACCCAGGGGTGTGATGTGTTCAGGGACCCAGGGGTGTGATGTGTTCAGGGACCCAGAGGTGCGTTCAGGGACAGGGTGGTGTGATGTGTTCAGGGACCCGGAGGTGCGTTCAGGGACCTGCGGTGCAGAAGTGGCTGCTCTCGCTCCAGATGGAGACGCTGTACTCTCCGTCCGGCTGCTTGCTGGCCGTCTGCACCGACACGCTGTACTGCGTGCGGGGGCTCAGGAACCAGTGGCCGCGCACCGTCATCGGCAGAGGAACCGCCCGCGCCACCAGCTTAGTGGGGACGTCCTGGAGAACAGAACATAAACAAAAACAAAGAATGAAAGAAGGAGGAAGTGGTTCATGCCCTGGGTCTCTCTGAGTTATCTTACCTAACTCAAAACAAACGCGCTCTCGCTAAGCGGTGCTACGACGCTGGTTATCAACTCGGTAACTCAAGCCAGGGGTTGCGGTCGAATACTCCAAAAAAACAGCTCCTAAGTTCTAACCCTATCGTCTATTCCTTGACCTCTGAGTGAAAGGTCACGGGGTTAAGGGATAGTGGATAGGAGAATTCAAAAGGACTTAGGAGAAGAGACTGCGGTACTTTAGAGAATCGACTGCACTTCCACTATCCGACGTGTTTATGATGCGCCAGCGGAGGTCATAAATGTGCCTCTGCTGCTGTGGGGAAACTATGGAAACTACAGTTTTCTATACAGCGGACTACAACATGGATGTTTAATAAGAACGAGGGACTACTGTAAACTCATCTAGAGACTCTGCACCGTGCTCTGATGCTGTTATGCTTTATGAACGGGGACAACAGAGAAACATATTCTTCATGACCAAAGTTGGAATTGAAATAAAAAAGGAAAGTGACACTTATGCTCGTCACCCTCTCCCTCCGGTCCACATTAATACAAATGATCCCAATACGTATGATTGTATGAAAAGATCTTCAAATCAATACAAATGTATTTATTATAAACGTTAGTCCTTAACATCTATCACTGTGTATATCACCATTCAAACATCTTTTAAAAGTTGAACAAACCCCACACAGCTCAGTAAAGACTGTGAAATGTTGACTTTATTTGATCATTTCAGTAAAAACTAACGTTCATATTTCTCTTTTTGATTATAATACTGATGAACGTTCAAAACAAAGCACTTTGGCAACTTACCACATACGTTTTAAAATGCTTAATAAGCACCGTAACTTTCATGATATCATTTCTCGTTCATAATCGGTTGTTTCCGTGAACGGCCGACTGTTGTGTGACGGCAAATGCCGCGGCCGCAAGGCATTGTGGGGCAGCATATTCTCCTCTCCTCTCGGTTAGGGAGGTCCAGTGGTTCCTAAGCTAAAGGAGGTTATAAAGGAAGTTTGAAACCTCCTTTCCTTTCATTTAGAGAATTAGAACGGCTCTTATCATGGCTGCCACTGAGGGACTTCCGGGTCATTTCACTCCGTTAGGAAGGTTCCTAAGCTAAATGGACTATTCGACAGCAACCAGGGTTTCTCTGTCCGGCTGAGTGCACGTTCACATGAAAGGGGCGGGGCTAGCAACATTTGACCAATCACAAACATGGACAAGCGTACTGACAGCGCAGCGTCATACTTCCTGAATGAAAAGTGAACTTTAATATTAGACAAATATGAAGAAGTTAAACTTTAAACATCCATGACTTAAACACTTTATCCAGGATCAAAGCCACATAGCACGGGCTACCAACTTCATAGGAACGTCCTGGGGAACCAAAACATAAACAAAGAATTAAAGCTCACCTTTTATGCTATATTTGAACAATATTTTGATTTCCTGCTTCTTCACACAGACTCTCTCCAGCACAGGTTAGCTCTGAGTGTTAGCATGCTAATGTAAACACAGACCATATTACTTCCAGAACACGTCTCATTGTTTCTGACAGCAACGTTTCTGATTGGCCCGTGGGTGTAAAGCCCGCCCACATTTTAGTAATGTTGTCATGACGCAGCAAATCTGGATCAGCTCCGTTGTTCCCCCGTTTTTAGAGATGTGGGTACGGAGGAAAAGAGAGAGGGGTTTGTTTCCTGACACTTTGTGAGTCTCCTGACACACCGGGGACACACCGGGACACACCGGGGACACACCGGGGACACACCGGGGACACACCGGGACACACCGGGGACACACCGGGGACACACGGGGGACACACCGGGGACACACGGGGGACACACGGTGATGTAGAGAAGACTTCAGGAAGTGACTTTTGCATGATAGGACACCTTTAAAGTAACGAGTGGTTCTCCTCGTGTCCCTCACCTTGTGTTTGAAGTGGTTCTCCTTGGGTTCCTCCTTCTTGTTCAGGTCGATGAAGTAGTGAGTGACGTTGCCCCCCCCCTCCATCTCCCAGCTGATGTTGAAGGAGTCGCAGGTGATGTTGGTGATGACGGGCCGTCGGGGAACCGGAAGAACCTCAAGGCCCCGCCCACTTTCTGCAGGAGAACACATATTATATAGTGTCTCTACTTTAAAGAGTCCTCTCCTGCTGATGTTCAGGTGTATATCAGTATGTAGTGTCTCTACTTTAAAGAGTCCTCTCCTGCTGATGTTCAGGTGTATATCAGTATGTAGTGTCTCTACTTTAAAGAGTCCTCTCCTGCTGATGTTCAGGTGTATATCAGTATGTAGTGTCTCTACTTTAAAGAGTCCTCTCCTGCTGATGTTCAGGTGTATATCAGTATGTAGTGTCTCTACTTTAAAGAGTCCTCTCCTGCTGATGTTCAGGTGTATATCAGTATGTAGTGTCTCTACTTTAAAGAGTCCTCTCCTGCTGATGTTCAGGTGTATATCAGTATGTAGTGTCTCTACTTTAAAGAGTCCTCTCCTGCTGATGTTCAGGTGTATATCAGTATGTAGTGTCTCTACTTTAAAGAGTCCTCTCCTGCTGATGTTCAGGTGTATATCAGTATGTAGTGTCTCTACTTTAAAGAGTCCTCTCCTGCTGATGTTCAGGTGTATATCAGTATGTAGTGTCTCTACTTTAAAGAGTCCTCTCCTGCTGATGTTCAGGTGTATATCAGTATGTAGTGTCTCTACTTTAAAGAGTCCTCTCCTGCTGAAAACGTCACACTGGCCCTTTAAGAGAGGTGATGAACCGTGAAGATGTTTCAGGATGTCTTTAGTCCTCTTTAGAGAACAAGGAACCCGTTGAAACTAAACACAGCAGTACCCCCCCCCCTCCTCCTCCTCCTCCTCCTCCTCTCTGAATGGAGGAGGTGAAGCGTCCTCGTTAAGGTAATTAGCCTCAGACACTGAAGGAGTTCTTTAAAGAGTTCAGCAGACTGGAGAGACTCAAAGAGACCCTGAAACACTCAAGTCTCTCTCACCACGTGCTCAGCAGCTACAGAGCAGATATATCAATGAGTCCTCCAGCAGAGCAACATGAATATACAGAACATAGAACAGAGAACATAGAACAGAGAACAGATCAAATAGTGAAGAGAATGTTTTGAGATGTGCAAGAAAATACAAATACAATAGAGATAGTGCCAGAACAGTCTGTATACAAGTACATGGAATATGAGATGGAGATGAATAGAGAGATGCAATCAGATGGATGTTCACACACACACACACACACACACACACACACACCTTCGCTGTCACTCCGCTGCAGACTCTTGGTGTCGCCGGGCTCCATCATCTTCACATCCAGAGAGGAAGAAGAAAGAGGATTAAATAATTAATAATAAATAACAACTCGATCAGAGAGAAATCAAATGTTCAGTTTCTGTGACGCTGCGTCAGGAAAACATCCAGATTCAGACTGAGAGCTCCAGAGCTCCTCCCGTGTGTGTGTGAGAGTGTGTGTGTGTGTGTGTGATCACAGAGAGGGGGGGGGGGCTTTAAGCTACTGTAATCTATATTTGTCCAGTAATGTAGAAATGGTGAGGGGTGTGTCCAGAGCAGGTTGTCAGGGCAACTGAAGGTACACAAATAAATATTAGAAATACATTTTTTAAACTAATAATAAAAAATAAAAAATATGCATTATATAATAAATAAAGTGAGTGAGGGGCTTTAATCAATGTGTTATAGTCATGGAGTAAGAGGTGGTGTGTCATGAAGGCAAACTAATACAATATCAGTTAAAAAAAAACAATTTATAAACAATTATAAATATATCTCCCCTCTCTCTGGTCTGACGGAGCTTTCATTAAATAAGATCTGTCCTGATTCACTTGTAATTTATATTAAACCACAGATTTCATAAACTTGATGTTTTTGTGCAGATTTTTCAGCCTGAAATCCTGTGAGGATTAACCTCCTGTCAGTGAGGGGGGGGCAGGGGGGGATTAGAGGCAGAAAGTGAATTAAAGCGTCTCTTATGTAAAGAGATCAGCTGCAGCTCTGCAACACGCATCCATCACTCCATCACTCCATCGTAGCCGACGCAGGCGACGTAGCTGACGTAAAAGTCGGGACGCCTTCGGTACGCGTTCTTTGGTCTCAGGTGGGCGTGGAGCGGCCTTTAGATCAAAGCAGACTGGTTTAAAGACTCTCCTGATTTGACAATCTGGTGCTTAAACAAATAGCTCTACACCCCTGGCTGAAATGTCCTTAAAATTAAGTCTGAGTTCGAGATATCTCAAATAATGTATGCACTGTCATTTCCCCACGTAAACATAACAGTCTGCAATGAAATGGTTGTCTCCCGTGTGCTCCACTTCCTCCTTGGCGCACCGGTAACTTTCTCAAAACTAAACTAAAATAATCGGGATAACGGGTTAGTTTCTCGTGCTCACGAGAAACTAACCCGTTATCCCGATTTTTTTTTAGATTTAATGTTTGTTAGATAAAAAACAACTGATATTTAAATTAAACATTTTTGAATATTCTTAGAAATAATTTGTAAAATAACGACAAACCTTGATCTTCTGAGAGTCTGACAACACAACCACAACCTCCTGTTTTATCATTCAGTTAGCATTAGCATGTCAGAGCTTCATGCTGCAGGATGACTTTCATTGCATTTAGAATTAATCTGAGATTTAACAAATTCACGAGATTTCAAGACTTCAAAAACTAGAAAAGTGTCTGGAAGAAGCAGCGCTGAAAGGAAACAGCTGACTTGTGTTCTTGTAAACAAACAAACACATCAACAGTGTAGTTACCTCCTAATAAACAAGACATTTTTACAGTTTAATAAAAACTTCATATCTTTATTTAGTCCGGTTTCACGCACACAAAACACACAAATATTTACAGCATGTAAAAAAAAAAAAAACACACATTTCAGAATAAAACAGGAATCTTTCAAGCGTCGAGAGTTCCGCCCGGCAACAGGTGAAAGGAGGCGGGGCTTAGATTAGACGTTAACAGGTGAAAGGAGGCGGGGCTTGGACGAGACGTTAACAGGTGAAAGGAGGCGGGGCTTAGACGAGACGTTAACAGGTGAAAGGAGGTGGGGCTTATACGTTAACAGGTGAAAGGAGGCGGGGCTTAGACATTAACAGATGAAAGGAGGCGGGGCTTAGACGAGACGTTAACAGGTAAAAGGAGGCGGGGCTGAAACAAGACAACAGGCTTAGACGAGACGCTAACAGGTGAAATCTGAACGATATGTACATTAAACTGAGTGTGTTTTCCACAGGAAACACTCTGCAGTTCCCCTGATGTTGGTGTTGTTGTTGTTTAACCCTGTGTGTCAGCAGGTGAGCCATGGACTCTGAAGCGATACAGACACGTGTACTCCGGGTTCCCCCAGTTAGAGAGAACCTGCAGCTCCACCACCTGGAACCAGGACCCGTTCTGCTCCTGAGGAACAGACCACACAGTTTAAAGTACAGTACTGTTAGTGCGAGTTTAAAGTTACAGTAGTATTAGCATATGCTATGTTTGTGTTTAAAGTCACAGTAGTATTAGCATATGCTATGTTTGTGTTTAAAGTTACAGTAGTATTAGCTATGTTTGTGTACTTTAAAGTAAAGTTGATTTTAAAATCCTTTTATTTGTTTTCAAAGCACTAAATGGGCTGGCTCCGGCCTATATAGCTGAACTCCTCCAGCGCTACACCCCAGCCAGAGCTTTAAGGTCTGCTGACCAGCTGCTGCTGGTAGTGCCCAAGACCAGGCTCAAAACCAGAGGGCACCGAGCCTTCGCAGCAGCTGGCCCGAGGCTCTGGAACACTCTGCCCCTCCATGTGAGGTCGGCCCAGACCCTAGGGGTTTTTAAATCTACACTAAAAACACACTTCTTCTCTCTGGCCTTCTAGTCAGAGCGGAGCACGACTCCTGACTTTTCCTTGTGTTTTTTGTTTTTTTTTTAATTTAATTTTTTATATATATATCTGTTGTAATTTATTGTCGTTTATTGTGATTGTAGTAATTGTGTTTTTATTACATGTACAGCACTTTGGCTCGACCAAAAATCACTTTTAAATGTGCTATATAAATAAAACCTGATTTGATTTGATTTGAAAGTAAAGTGTGTCTCACGGTGACGGGGAACGTCTGCAGAGCCTCTCCGTCCTGGTCGTATCTGAAGGAGCCGAGCAGCTTCCCCTCCTCCTCCTCCTCGTCCTGAAGACCCTGAGAACACCAATAGACACATAGAAATGTTCAAATGTAGATTAGTACATTTCTGAGTGTTTTCTAATAATTTGTAAGTATTTCTTTCTTGTAAAATGTTCAGCCCTTCCCTTAATAAAAGTCTCTCTTACGTAGACTCTGAAGTCCCGTAGATTTGGGAGGATTTTTTTTGTAAAGTTGTACTTTTTCGATAAAATGAGTTTTTTTCTAGTTAAATTTTATTTATTTTCTCAAAATAATTGGGAAATTGGGAAAAAGTAAATGAGTGATTTTCTATCTAGTAAAATGCACCCCCCTGAACGTGGTCTCTCTTACGTAGACCCTGAAGTCCCTCGGGGCGCTGCTAGAGGTCCCGCTGGGAGACAGAGATCTGGGGACGTGCTCCAGAGAGAAGGACGACGGGGACACGCTCATCGAGAGGCGGAGCACCAGGACTCCTGAAGAGCCTCTGAACGCCCAACAGTTACCTGGCTGGACATCAGGCTGGAGGAGGAGGAAGAGGAGGAGGAGGAGGAGGAGGAGTTAGTGGAGTAACTGCAGGGTGTCGTTACAGAGCCTCATGAAGAGGGTTCATAATGTGAAGGGAACTGGTTAAATGCATTTGGATGAAGCTGAGAGCTAGTGATGAGATAAAGATAATACAGCACCTGTATGACGGCGCGGGGGCTCTGGGAGAAGAACCAGAGAGGAAGTCCGAACAGACTGAGCAGCGCCGTCTTGGTCTCGTAGGTCTGAGAGCATCTGGAGCTGAGGATGCTGCCCCCTGTAGGGCGGAGGAGGAACAACACAGTCAGAACAACACCGTCAGAACAACACAGCCAGAAACACACCGTCAGAACCACACCGTCAGAACCACACCGTCAGAACCACACCGTCAGAACACCAACACCGCCAGAACAACACCGTCAGAACACAGTCAGAACATTCAATGTTCAACAACATGAATGTTCTGGATGCTCTTCACAGAGTGTTTAACAGTCGTATGGCCTGTGGGATGAAACTGTCCCTGACTCTGGTGCTGTTAGTCCTGGTACCCGTCAGCTGCTGCTTACATCCCATCAAACAGAGTATTATTTAACATTATGAAACACACCTCCGGACTCCAGGGCGTAGTCTGCGCGGCCGGTTCGATCCTGAGAGAAGATCCTCAGCGCGTCCTGCACCATCTCACGCACCTCCTGCAGGAGAACGAACACCCTCACTGTTATATCTTTATTTATATATGGGGAGGGAGGCTGTGGCGTAGTGGACTAGTACGTTGGTGTTCGGAAACTCGTTAAATGCATTTGGATAAACCCGAGTGTTAGCACGTGAAAACCACTAAACTAAAACCTAGTTTTTCCAGTCATTTGTATTTTTTCCAGTAAATATGAGTTTATTTTTTAGTAATTTATGGTTTTTTCTAGTACACTTTTTTCTAATAAATCTACTTTTTTTCTAGTAAATATGGGAGTTTTTTTACTCAGAAATACAAAAACTCACCAATATTTTTCTAATTTGAGCTCCATTTGAATCTGTTTCTCACCTCCTTAGTGACGGTGGTTTCCCCCCCCGTGGTCCCTGCTTGGTTCAGTCCGTCCTCTCTGAGTTGCTCCCTGCTGATGTTCTGCAGGTCTCTGATGTTCTGCAGGTCTCTGATGTTCTGCAGGTCTCTGATGTTCTGCAGGACTCTGGTCTCCACAGAGGACAGCGCCCCCTGCAGGTCGGCCTGGCTCACATAGTGCTGCTGCAGCCACTGAAGGAGGGGCTGCGGGGGGCTGGAGTCATCTCCTGAAGCCCCGCCCCCTACAGTCAGCTGGTTCCCGTACAGAAGGACCCGGACCTCCTCACGGACCTGAGCGGAGACCAACTCTGAAACCTGACGGAAGAAAATGACACATTATATTGGAAATCATTTAAAAAGTAACTGGCTTTGAATTTCACAAACATTTCCTGCTGCCGTTTGACATTAAAAAATAAAATGAGGTTTAAAAGTACCTTGAGTTTGATATAAACTACAATTTATAGGGAGACGAGTAGCCCAGATGAGGGTAGCTTAAATAAGATTAAAAGTAGTCTTTACATGATAACAATTCCCTACATTTGATTGAAGAAAACATTTGAAAGATAAGTGGCTTTAATAAGTTATAAAGTAACTGAAATGTAATTATTGTAGCCTAAATGTGATTATAGGTTGCATTAATAAGCTGTAATATTATTAAAAATAGATGAGTAACACCTACGTCACTTCCGGGCGAAAACTACAGCCCCGCCAACTTTTGGGGGAAACCAACGCTGTCATTTGAACGGCGGTCAATACACATTCTGAAGTGTTTGCCAATCCGATCAGAAATGTTTGAAAACCGTGGATTTTCTGATCTTCAAAGAGCCCGATGACGATGGCCAGTCAGGCAAACAATTACATCACATCATTTGAAATCGACGATCGGACTCGATATATGGTTCAATTCAAATCAGTAGGCGAGGCTGTCATTTTGCCGGCTGTTACTCTCATGAGCGAGGCAGAAAGTAATAGTTTAACAGAAAGCTGCCGTGTCGTTTATTGCACCTCAAACATTAAAACAAATCCAGAGTTCAGTGTTTCTGAACGTCCTCTGGCTTCAGGCTCGATCGCCGTTCAAAATGACAGCGTTGTTTCCCCCAAAAGTGGGCGGGGCCGTAAAGTGACGTAGGTGTTACTCTCATCTATGGACATCGTAACCGGGCTATTTGAAGATCCACAAATCCACGTTTCTTACATTTCTGATCGGATTGGCAAAAACTTCAGAATTTGTATTGACCGCCGTTCAAATGACAGCTTTGTTTTCCCCCAAAAGTGGGCGGGGCCGTAGTTTTTGCCCGGAAGTGACCTAGATGTTAGCCTCAAAAAGCTAAATAGAGGCTTACATTTGAGAGGTGGTAGTAGTAGTTTGTAAATATGCAAGTTTTTTCTAAAAAATCCTATTAAACTTTAGATATTTTCTTGTAAATGTGTGAAATAAAATGTCCTGCTGCTGCTTCACAATAAAAGCCTTGCTGGTGAGGGGCTTTTATTTTGAAGCAGCTTCAGGAACAGAGAGGTCAGGTTCGTCGGGGCTCTCACCGTCTGCTGGATGTTCTCCAGGTGTTCTTGGTTCTCCAGGTGTTCTTGGTTCTCCTGACGCTCAGACAGATCCTCCACCTGCTTCCTCACCTCCTGCAGAGCCTCCTGCAGCCGCGTCACCTCCGACAGCAATGCATCATGGGAGTGACGGTCCACCCCAGCACTGCAGGAAGACAAAGTTAAAGTGAGAGCCTAACTGTTAGAAAAATAATCCCTGGTCCCCGGCTTGAGCTTCAATCTCAGGATCCATGTGTTTCTGATCCTCAAGAATGGAAGTAGTCAAAATCTCAAAATGACTTTCTCAATTATTACTTTTTTCTCCAAATTATTACTTTTTTTTCAAAATTATTATTTTTCTGAATACTTAAAAATGTTAATAATCATAAACTTGAGCTTCAATCTCAAATACTGAGTTTTTTCTCAAAATTCTGACTTTTTCCTCAAAATCTCAACATTCTGACTTTTTCTCAAAATGTTGGCTTTTTTCTGAAAATCTTTTCTATTTTTCAAAATCTAAAAATTCTGACTTTTTCTCAATGATTACTTTTTTCTCAAGTCTAAATTTCTAAAAATTCTGACTTTCTCAAAAGTCTCAAAATTCTGACTTTTTTTCAAAATCTCAAAATTCTGACTTTTTCTGAATAAAATGTTAATAATCCCTGGTCCCCGGCTTGAGCTTCAATCTCAGGATCCATGTATCTCTGATCCTCTCCAGAATGGAAGTAGTCATCACATACAGAGCATCAACTAGTTCCTGAACAGTGTCCTTCACATGCTGATATCCAAGAGAGGGAGTTACACAGTCACAAGATGGAGGAATAGAAAGCAGTATTCAATGTTTACTTCAGATTAGCTCCACGTCAGAAATGAGCATGCTTGTCATATGTCTATCTCCATAGAGGCTGAATCATCATGTTAATCACATAGCTATCATATGCCTCAAACAGTCCTGATCAGTGGTTGCGTTAGACTTTTTCGTTGTCTGTCATTTTGACGGACAGGATCGTAACATTTCCGTCATAATCCATTATTACCCGTCATTTTATTTTTCATGTTTTAATGATGAGACATATTTAATATTTATGTTTGGGTACTAAGCAGCAAATGTTCAATCATTCCTTTTTTTTATGATTCATTCAGAACCTTTAAGGGCATGGAGAAAAACAAAGATGAACAGAGACACCGACCGTGCGGTCACTTTTCATGTCAAAACGAATATGAATGATTTATTTTTCCTTGCCACTTGCTTGTCCCTCTGCTGCTGGCTGAACGTTGTCAGTTTTAGTCTTACTGGCTTGTCCTTCATCCTCCACTGCATCAATCCCTCTTCTTTCACCTCGTTTATCCACACCATCACAATTACTGGGCTTATTAAAAAAGCTTCGGACACTCAGCTGCCGTGACATTTTGCGATTGCTAAAGCCGGTTAAACAACGAGGTAATCAACGAGGTCAAATACAAGACTAGACAATAGCTACTTAATATGCACACACTCGCCACCAACTGGACAGGGGTGTGAATTACTAAATAATAGTTAAAGTAGAGTACAGTAGATCGCCCTCAGTCGACCTGGCCACTAAGGATGTAATATAATGTGGGCCGCTGGTGGACATTTTGGCGCTGTTCCGAGTTGTGTTCTAATCTGTCAAAATGACGGACTGCTTTCAGAGTTTTCCGTCATTCTTGGAAAAATTACGTCATAGACGGAAAATATTCGGTTAACGCGACCTCTGGTCCTGATGCTCTTCTAGGTAATCATACATCCTGTCATGAACACAGCTACAGTTGGGATACCTTTGTTAGCATGCTACTCTCATGTTGGAAGAGGACATTCACAACAGTAACATATTCAATAAAGAAGGGAGAGGAAGGAGACGTTATGTTCTCCTGTTGGTGTTAAATATGGAACAAACTACAGCTGACTGAAGTGGAGAAGAGGAGGGAGAGGATGAAGAGGAGGGAGAGGATGAAGATTACCTGAGAGAAACAGGAAGTGTTGTTGATGAAGGAGAACCTGTAGCAGCAGCTTCCTGTCTGCACTGCAGCTCCTGAGGAGAAATACTAAATAAATCAAACCTTTATTTAACCAGATGGTCCCTTGAGATCAGAGATCTCTTTTTCAAGGGAGACCTGCAGCAATTAGGTTCCACATGAAACATAAAACAATAAAGGACATCATACAACATATTTACAGGTTACATTTACATACTTATCAACATTTACAAGTACCCATAGTGTCAACGAGCATTTCATTTAGCCTAGCTTTAAAAACATGCAGAGGAATGAGATTGCTCAGTTTCAATTCTTGCTGTAGATTGTTCCAAGCAAGTGGAGCTGCGCACATAAAAGCTGTCTCACCTAAAACAGTCCTTGCTCTTGGCACATCTAACAAGACTACATCATGTGATCTCAGACAATAGCTGCTTGCAACTCTCTGAGTTATCAGAGAGCAGATATAATACGGGAGTTTACCCAACAAAGCTTTATAAATAAACGTGTACCAGTGACTGAGCCTCCGTACAGTAAGTGATGGCAGACCTGCCTTGGCATACAGGGTACAGTGATGTGTAAGTGCTTTACAATTTGTGACAAATCTCAGTGCGCTGTGATAGGCGGCATCTAACTTGTTCAGGTGCATTCATATAGACCAGATCACCATAGTCCAGCACAGGTCAAAAGGTCACAGAGCCTTTTTCTGGCCTCAAGTGAGAAACAGGACTTGTTCCTGAAGAAGAAACCTAGCCTAACCCTCAGTTTGTTAAGCAGATTATTGACATGAAGTTTAAAAGAGAGACAATCATCAAGCCAGATACCAAGGTATTTGTAACAGCTAACCACTTCAAGTTTTATTCCTTGCATAGTAACAATATCTAAAACAGGCTCTGGTGTCTTTTTAGCTTTAGAAAAGAGCATTACCTTGGTTTTCTCAACATTTAAAAGAAGCTTAAGTTCAGAGAGCTGAGTCTGAATATGATTAATAGTATTCTAAATAAGAATACCAGCAGCCTGAACAGCATTAGATCTCTCTGTGTTATTTCAGGTGCTGTAAAGGTGTGTGTGTGTGTGTAGGTTTACCTCTGTTTGTTCAGCCAGGCTCTGCAGCTGCAGCTCCAGCTGATCCACACGAGACGTTTCCCTCTGCTGCTGCAACACCTCCTGCTGACAAACACACAATGAAGGAACTACAACTCCCAGCATGCTCAGCAAATCTGATCAACAACCCTCAAAAGCTACCAGACTTCCACCTCACAGGACGGGGGTTGGTGCTGTGATTCTGTCTCACTCTGTTCTGTGTGGGTCTGTGGCACTCTGTTCTGTGTGGGTCTGTGGCACTCTGTTCTGTGTGGGTCTGTGGCACTCTGTTCTGTGTGGGTCTGTGGCACTCTGTTCTGTGTGGGTCTGTGGCACTCTGTTCTGTGTGGGTCTGTGGCACTCTGTGGCACTCTGTGGCACTCTGTGGCACTCTGTGGCACTCTGTGGCCACCAACCGCTCTGTCCAGGTGTGCCGTACAATCTTTTTACGTTCCACATTTTTTTCTCACTTATTAAACTTCACTTCATATAAACTTTATTGTATTAAATGTACAATGGAGCTGATCAGCTAATAAAACATATATATTGCTCAGATTTAGAAATATGAAATACCGACTGCTTGAATTCTCATGACTTACATCAGCCGTCATTGTTTACGGCGTGCAGAGCAGCTTTTTATCCTCGCGCCAAAATCTTCCAAGAGTAATGAGAGTGCTGGAGGAGAGGTTTGAGTCATATTTCCCTCCTATGAATGAAGACTTCGATTGGCTGCGGGATCCGTTTAATCCTCTCATTAATATCAGCCACTAGTTTAAACAGCAGAGCTCAGATGAACTCGCAGAGCTATGGACCGCTCCCTGAGACTGAAGCACGGTGAACGACTTCTGGATATCTTTTGGCTGCTTGTGGGACACGAGTATCCATCCCTCTCAGAGAGTGCTATCAACGTGCTTTTACCGTTTCCAACCTACTTGTGCGAGCTGGCGGTTTCCTCACTCGCATTATGTCAAAAACAAGACCCGCCCCCGGCTGTCAGTGGAGCAGGACCTCCGCGTTGCGCTGTCCACTATCCCCCCCACGCATCAAGAGACTCTGCTCCCTAAAGCAGGCACGTGTCGCACTAACATGTGACTATCGGTTTTATTTTAGTTTTGCTGTTTAAACTGATTAGTCTGTTATTATTACGTTATTATTCATTTTACGTTATCATAGGCCTACCTCTTTTGAAATCCAAATGTAAAATAACTCAGAGAGTCGTTTTCAGTCTGGTTCTTGTCATTATATGATGGATTATATGGTTTTTAGGATGACTTATATTTGATTATTTGTTCAATAAAATGTTCTATTAAATTAAATACACATTTGAAAACCAATTGATGGTGTATTTATTGTTTGTAGTTTAAGCTCTGAAGTGGTTTTTAAATCTACGAGAAGTTGGTGTGCCTTGGGGTCGAGAAATATTTTCAGGTGTGCCTTGGTAAAAAAAAAGGTTGGGAACCACTAGAGTGTAGAGTACCTGTGTGATGTACCTGTGTGATGTACCTGTGTGATGTACCTGTGTGATGTACCTGTGTGATGTATCTAGAGTACCTGTGATTGGCTCCTCTGCTCCTTCAGCTCCGCCCTCACGCTCTCCAGCTGCTGCTCCATCAGGACGCTCAGAGCCCCGCCCCTCTGACCTGAGATCAGCTGCTGGAGGTCGGAGTAAAGTCTCATCACCTCCCTGTGCCGCTGCTCCTCCTGCTCACCCCCCGTCTCGACTCGCTCCCACAGAGCCGTCACACTGAGCTCCAGACGCTGCAGCGCCTCCTGCTGGGGAGCACAGAGGAGCACAGAGGAGCACAGGGGAGCACAGAGGAGCACAGGGGAGCACAGGGGAGCACAGAGGAGCACAGAGGAGCACAGGGGAGCACAGGGGAGCACAGGGGAGCACAGGGGAGCACAGAGGAGCACAGAGGAGCACAGAGGAGCACAGAGGAGCACAGAGGAGCACAGAGGAGCACAGAGGAGCACAGGGGAGCACAGGGGAGCACAGGGGAGCACAGGGGAGCACAGGGGAGCACAGGGGAGCACAGGGGAGCACAGAGGAGCACAGGGGAGCACAGAGGAGCACAGGGGAGCACAGGGGAGCACAGAGGAGCACAGAGGAGCACAGAGGAGCACAGGGGAGCACAGGAGAGCACAGGAGAGCACTTCTATTAGAAAAGTAGCCACATGTATAAGAAGTAGACTTAAAGTAACTCAAAGCCACTTCAAAATGATTCAAAGTAGAACATTTAAAAAACGTATATTTAAATTATAAACGTGGATTCAATCTTTAATCAACTTAAATTATTTTTAGCAACTTTGCTTTAATGATCTCACCTGCTCTCCTGCTCCCGTTGTCGGGCGGATGTGGAGCGGCTGCACCTCCTTCTCCTCCATCACCTCCTCTGATGGTGGGGGGGAGGAGAAGATGGGCGGGGCTTCAGAGACCTCGGTCCACTGCGTGAGGCTCACAGCTGGGAGGAGGGAGGTCAGAGCGGCGGGGGTGAAGAACCAAACGCCTGGAGGAGAGAGACCAAAACATCATCATTACATTCAATATGAATATTCATATTGAATGCAGAGATGATCGGGGTGATGCCAGGGTCAAGGCTTTTATCGTCATGTGTGCATTAGCTACAGTGGAGTCATGACAATGAAGATCTGAGTCTATATACAAGGAATTGGAAGATTGATATATATGAGTTGCAAACAGATGAATGCTCTTTCAGAGCATTCATCTGTTTTATGATCAGGTTGAATACGTACTGAAGAGGAGGAGCAGAGGGAGGAGAACCAGGAGGAGTCTGAGAGGAGACCTGCAGGAGAAACAACATCTGGATGAACGCGTTGCTGCCAAAGTAAAGTACGTCAAATCATTTGTATTTCAGTACTTAGTTTACTCAACACCATGAGCTGCAAACTGAATAAAGAACACTTCTGTGAGAGTAATATGATTACAAGAATCTAAATATATTTTAAAAGCAGCAGAGATATGTTTAAAACTCGGCTAAGTATCATTGAAATGAGCCTAAAAGTGCTCAGAGTCCAAATGTGATTCAAACTATGCTAAAAGTCAAATGAAAACTTGCCACGTCAGGAAGACTCTGGAGGTCATGTGATGCCAGCGTCTGTGGAGACACCTGAACACATCACCTGCTGACCCACCTGAGGAACACACAGATTCACATCATCTGATCCAACATGAGGAAGAGGAGGGGAAGAAGCCAACATGGAGGAGGATGGGAGGAAGAGGAGGAAGAGGAGAGAAATACCTCCAGTGTGCATGGAGGATAATCACTTTAAAGTCAATGCAATGCATGATGGGGGATAACTCCAAGTTTAAAAGCGGTAAACACACGTCACAAAATCTGAGTTTGTCAAATATGACACGTTCGTGACGAAAGAGACTTTCTGTGAACCGTTTAAAGACAATTTAAACACGTGAGAAATTAGAAAGATTCCTACATTTTGGAATGTTCTTTATCCGAGTGAGTAGATAAAGATTACAGAGTGTGTGTGTGTGAGTGTGAGTGTGTGTGTGTTAGTTTAAAAACTCACGCAGAGATGCGTCGGGATGCTGCTGCTCCGACGGGGTCATGACTGCAGAAGATCGAACTGCAACACAGGCAGGATTTAATGAGTGTGTGTGAGTGTGTGTGTGTGTGTGTGTGTGTGTGTGTGTGTGAGAGATTTGCATCATGTCATGGCAACAGCCAAAGTGAGAGAGGTGCAGCACATTTGTTTGGAGGGAAACCCGAGAACAGGTGAGACTCAAAGCATCATGGGAACTAAACATTAAAGAGGCCCTTTGTGTTCCCTTTAAATCCCCATAAACCAAACAGCGTGGATATGACGTCATGCACCTGTGACACCAGTGTGACACCAGTGCACCTGTGTGACACCAGTGTGACACCAGTGTGACACCAGTGTGACACCAGTGCACCTGTGTGACACCAGTGTGACACCAGTGTGACACCAGTGTGACACCAGTGTGACACCAGTGTGACACCAGTGTGACACCAGTGTGACACCAGTGTGACACCAGTGTGACACCTGTGTGACACCAGTGTGACACCAGTGTGACACCAGTGTGACACCAGTGTGACACCAGTGTGACACCAGTGTGACACCAGTGTGACACCAGTGTGACACCAGTGCACCTGTGTGACACCAGTGTGACACCAGTGTGACACCAGTGCACCTGTGCGACACCAGTGCACCCCCACACACACCTGTTGGCAGTACCTGTGTGTGTGTGGTCAGAGGGAGGCAGCAGTGAGAGCAGCACGCTGACGCAGCGCTCTGCAGCTCTCCTCAGCTGCAGCACGGAGGAGGCGCAGCACCGCTGCAGCTCACCTGCAACAGGAAGCATTCATACACATGGAGGTATGCAAAACACCTGCTGGTCCCTGAAGGCACCATCTCCCTGGGCCAATGGGATTCCTCCGTGTGATTTTGGATGATGTCACAAAATAATCTGTGTTTATGATGCTTACACTTTAGGTGTGTGTGTACCTGTCACATGTTGGTGTGTGTACCTGTCACATGTTGGTGTGTGTACCTGTCACATGTTGGTGTGTGTGTACCTGTCACATGTTGGTGTGTGTGTACCTGTCACATGTTGGTGTGTGTGTACCTGTCACATGTTGGTGTGTGTACCTGTCACATGTTGGTGTGTGTACCTGTCACATGTTGGTGTGTGTGTACCTGTCACATGTTGGTGTGTGTGTACCTGTCACATGTTGGTGTGTGTGTACCTGTCAGGTGTTGATGTGTGTGTACAGTGGTGACTGGTCATTAGGGGCAGGTGGGACACAGCCCCACCTAGTGTCAGCAGAAAGTATTACACATGATTACAAAAAATGGAAAGAGATGCAAAAAAAGAAATTAAAAAATATATAAAATATATTTTAAGGTCATGTTTAATCATCTGATTCGTCTGTACATTGCTGTTTTAGTCTGTGTTCTTCTAATTAGTGTCTACAGTGCCGTTTTGAGCCATGTGGGACAAAACCTGATCATGCCCCTCCCTCTCACTGTCTAAGTGAACGGTGACTGTAAAAACTACACTGCGCATGCTCAGAGTATTTTTCAATGTAATGTGTGTGGCAAAACAAAAAACACCAGAGGGGCACGGAGCTACCATCCCCACCATACGTCATCTCACATCATTCAGAGCTGATTGGCTGTAAGTACGTGTGCCGCGAAAAGTGTGGTGTGTGAAGAGGAGACGAGAGAGCTGCAGTGACGCGTCCTAAAACCAGGAAGTAAGCTCAAAAAAGCAATGAGGTTTCTCCAGAGGATTTTAGAAAATAGCTTGAAATAAGATCTGTGGGAAACGTACCTGTTAGATAAATGCACGTTTTGTTCAGCCGGATAACATCCACATGTCTACCCTACTTTTATCATTTTTGAATCATAAATCTATGGATTAGATTTATGATAGACTTTTGAAACTACAAGAACATAAGGAGGACTTTTACAAAAAAGATATAGAAATGTTTGTCCAGAAGGATAGGAAAATGGACTTCATCTTCAAGTCAAGGTAAGACCGCCATTTGATTGAAAATGGGATCTTACTAAGAGAGAACAATTCAATATTTAAATGATAAAATTACATTTTTTGGGTATCCTTTTGTTGAACTGTCTGTTTAAAATTAATCGAAGCATCAGACAAAAAAAGCTTTTGAAAATAATATTATATTTTGGTTTAGGTCAAAATATAATATTTGTAAACCTGAAGAGTCAGTGCCAGAGCCTCACCAGCCATGAACCTCACTGCACGTCACTGCAGAAGCTTATATATAGACATCTACGTTTTTTGTGCCCCACCACTTTTGTACATAGAAAAACGCCACTGTGTGTGTACCTGTCACATGGTGTGTGGGTGTGGACCTGTCACATGGTGTGTGTACCTGTCACATGGTGTGTGTACCTGTCACATGGTGTGTGTACCTGTCACATGGTGTGTGGGTGTGGACCTGTCACATGGTGTGTGTACCTGTCACATGTTGGTGTGTGTGTACCTGTCACATGTTGGTGTGTGTACCTGTCACATGTTGGTGTGTGTGTACCTGTCACATGTTGGTGTGTGTGTACCTGTCACATGTTGGTGTGTGTGTACCTGTCACATGGTGTGTGTGTACCTGTCACATGGTGTGTGTGTACCTGTGACATGGTGGTGTGTGTGTGTACCTGTGACATGGTGGTGTGTGTGTGTACCTGTGACATGGTGGCGTCTCAGCAGCGTCAGGTGAGCAGAGATCAGAGCCAGCAGAGAGACCACCCCCCTCCACAGAGAGGAGAGCACACCTGCTGAGGAGACAGGTAACAAACAGGTGAGAGCGGCTGTCAGGTAACAAATACTCACTGTTGCAGCCACTAGAATGAATATGTTCTGTTATTTGAACACTAGATGGCGTAATGGGGCAACAACACGCACCTGGTCTCCCCGCACAGGGGCAACAACACGCACCTGGTCTCCCCGCACAGGGGCAACAACACGCACCTGGTCTCCCCGCACAGGGGCAACAACACGCACCTGGTCTCCCCGCACAGGGGCAACAACACGCACCTGGTCTCCCCGCACAGGGGCAACAACACGCACGGGGACATGGCACGGGCACATGGCACGGGGACATGGCACGGGCACATGGCACGGGCACATGGCACGGGCACATGGCACGGGGACATGGCACGGGGACATGGCACGGGGACATGGCACGGGGACATGGCACATGGCACGGGGACATGGCACGGGGACATGGCACGGGGACATGGCACGGGGACATGGCACGGGGACATGGCACGGGGACATGGCACGGGGACATGGCACGGGGACATGGCACGGGGACATGGCACGGGGACATGGCACGGGGACATGGCACGGGGACATGGCACGGGGACATGGCACGGGGACATGGCACGGGGACATGGCACGGGACATGACACGGGGACATGGCACGGGGGCATGGCACGGGGGGCATGGCACGGGGACATGGCACGGGGACATGGCACGGGGACATGGCACGGGGACATGGCACGGGGACATGGCCACGGGGACAGGGCACGGGGACATGCACCGGGACATGGCACGGGCACATGGCACGGGGACATGGCACGGGGACATGGACATGGCACGGGGGACATGGCACGGGGACATGGCACGGGGACATGGCACGGGCACATGGCACGGGGACATGGCACGGGGACATGGCACGGGGACATGGCACGGGGACATGGCACGGGGACATGGCACGGGGACATGGCACGGGGACATGGCACGGGGACATGGCACGGGGACATGGCACGGGGGCATGACACGGGGACATGACACGGGGACATCACACGGGGGCATCACACGGGGGCATCACACGGGGGCATCACACGGGGACATGACACGGGGACATGACACGGGGGCATCACACGGGGACATGACACGGGGGCATCACACGGGGACATGACACGGGGGCATCACACGGGTACCCAGTTAAAGCCAATCCCAGGTGATATTGAGTGGCAGTCACCTCACTCAAGATGGGATCAATAAAGAGTCTCAAATAATCTAAAGTGAGGAAGGGTCATATTCAGAGACATAATATTAAATTCAGCAAAAATACTGAAACATTCTCATAGAAAAAAAACTGGTTTCAGAATGTATATCACAGCGACGTCTTATTGTGAAAGGGTGACTTCCTGTCTCACCTGTCCTGCTCCTCCTCTCTCTGCAGTACACCAGGGGGGTCTCCTCTGATGATGAGGAGGAGGGGGGGGAGGAGGGGGTACAGGTGTGTTTGGTGAGGATCTCCTTCCTGTTTGAGAGCAGCGAGTAGTCTCCATAGTGATTCCTGCTGGGGGGCGGGGCCAGAGCTCCCTCTGAGCCAATCAGAGTGCAGTCGGCCAGCAGCGTGCTCTGATCCCCGATGATGGTGCTCTCTGAAAAACACATTCATTACAAATGGATTTTAATTGATTTCTCATTTAGGAATGTATGAGTCTACATGTCTTTGATCTTTATAAATAATAATATATTTTTTTATTATTATCTTTTATTACATTAATAATTTATTATAATAATTAGTATGTTTTAATGATAATGGACTCACCTGTGGGGTCGTTGTCGTGATCCAGACCTGAAACAGGAAGCAGAATTAACTTCGTTCAATACCCAGAGATGTAGTACACACTTTACTCAAGTAGAAGTACACACTTTACTCAAGTAGAAGTACAGATACTCGTGTTTAAAGATACTCTGGTGAAAGTAGAAGTACTGAGTAAACTTCTTTACTCAAGTAAAAGTAAAGAGGCTTTGAAATGTACTTCAGTAAAAAGTACCCATAACTAGCAGCTGTTTTAAAGAGTACCTGACCTCCCTTTATATTAATAGAACAATAATGTCATTGTTAGCTAATGAATGTTTCCATGCTGAACAACGGCAACATGACAACGTTTTCATTGGTCCCTCTTCTTTAGAGAAGACCAGGAAATGATGGATACACGGATCGTGTTCAAATCAATAGGCACGCAATGACTCTAAATAATAATGATCACGCCACCAAACACACATTCAAACTAAAGGAACCAGCCTGTTTGGGAAATGTGAGAAGTAGAAAGTACAGGTATTTGTGTTCAACATGTAAGAAGTAGAAAGTACAGGTATTTGTGTTCAACATGTGAGAAGTAGAAAGTACAGGTATTTGGGTTCAACATGTAAGAAGTAGAAAGTACAGGTATTTGGGTTCAACATGTGAGAAGTAGAAAGTACAGGTATTTGTGTTCAACATGTGAGAAGTAGAAAGTACAGGTATTTGGGTTCAACATGTAAGAAGTAGAAAGTACAGGTATTTGGGTTCAACATGTAAGAAGTAGAAAGTACAGGTATTTGTGTTCAACATGTAAGAAGTAGAAAGTACAGGTATTTGTGTTCAACATGTAAGAAGTAGAAAGTACAGGTATTTGTGTTCAACATGTAAGAAGTAGAAAGTACAGGTATTTGTGTTCAACATGTAAGAAGTAGAAAGTACAGGTATTTGTGTTCAACATGTAAGAAGTAGAAAGTACAGGTATTTGAGTTCAACATGTAAGAAGTAGAAAGTACAGGTATTTGAAGTAGTGGAGTAAAGTACTGATACCAGAAACATGTACTTAAGTAACAAAGTATTTGTACTCAACTACTTCCCACACCCCGCCAATATAAAAGAGGAGGTGCTGCGTTTACCCCAGAAGGCGTGGACCAGAGAGTTCTCCTGCACCGAGGAGTCATCGAGCAGCGAGGAGAGGAGGGAGGCGTCCGAAACTACGCTGCTGTTCAGGAGGGAGGAGCGGGGGGAGGGCAGCAGCAAGGAGGAAGAGCAGGAGGCCGAGAGGAGGGAGGAGCGACGGGGCTTCAACTGCCTGAAGGGGGGAGGAGGAGGGAGAGGAGAGGAGAGAAAGTAGACGAGTAAAATATATATGCATTATTGTTATTATAATAATATATAGCTCCTCCTCCTCCTCCTCCTCCTCACCTGCTGTTCCTCCAGTCGGCCTTCCCCCCGCTGAAGGAGGCGCTGCTGTGAGGGAGACTCCCCTCCCGCAGCCCGTCCTCCAGCCTCAGGCTGCGGCGAGACATCCAGAGACCTGCGCCTCCTTCTCTGGGAGCAAAGAGCAGGAGGAGGAGCACCTGGAGGAGAAACACTCAATAAATGCTCTGTTCAGAAGGACATTATTTGCCTTATTTATGTTTTTATTGTTATTTCTGTTTTATTAATAATGATGTATTGTCATGATTTATTTGCTTTTCCTTCATACAATTTATTTATCATTAATTATTTGATAGCTAACGCTCCTCTCTTTGTTCACTCCATTAATATATACATTAATTATAATTATTATATTTTAACAATTTGATTAAAAAAAATAATCTCCCCTTGAATTATAATTGATATATTATTTTAGAGGGTCTCTCACCCAGTGTCTTCAGTCATTTAACTACAGTTTAAAGGGCTTCTTTGCTTTAAACCAATCAGCGCGGAGTTCAGCGACATGACGTCTCAGCTGACCAATCACAGTCCATTATGGGCGGGGCCCCGCGAAAATTGAATTAAGGTGAGCTAACGTTAGCTTTAGCTCAAAAGCACAATATAAACACAATGAAACACAGCAGAAAATCACAGATTAGACTTCTTACCGTCAGTAGAACTCAAAGCAAGGCGAGTCTTTCACAGCCAAGACCTAAAAGAACAGCTGCTGTTATTTAAACGAACTGTAAAAGCTCAAATAAAGACAGATATCGGTTTGTTTTTAGTTACAAAACTCCAGTTGGAAGCGAAGGAGCGTAACTGCCGCTGCGTCACTCAAAGAGTCTCGTTTCACAGAGAATCATCTTCTTAAAGTCCACAAACTGACAACAACTAAATAAAACAAACTTACCTGTCGGAGCTCCTGCTGTAATTAAAGCGCAGCAGGTGGTTATTGGTTATATATCCGCGGGGAACAGCGCCACCGTGCGGAGGGAGGAGAAAAGAACAGTGGCTGACAAAGATCATATAATGCGTTGAGATGGTTCACTCTCTTTCTGTTTCTATGGGAATATCATCAGAGGGAACAGCCAAAGATCGTTTAGTGAGTTAGGATAGTTATCGTCCTCAAAGTAGATACAGTAGATAGATAGATAGATAGATTGATAGATAGACTACAATAGACAGATAGATAGATAGATAGATAGATAGATAGATAGATAGATAGATAGATAGATAGATAGATAGATAGATAGATAGATAGATAGATAGATAGATAGATAGATAGATATAGCACCTTTCAACACAAGGCAATTCAAAGTGCTTTACAAAAATGAAAGTCATTAAGAAAATCGCATTTAAAAACAGTCATTAAAAAGCAAAGATAATAAAATAAACATTAAAAGAAAAAATAAATGAATAAAAGTTACAGTGCAGTTGAAGATATGAATAGTTCAATTAAAAGCACTGGTAAAAAGAAAAGTCTTCAGCCTGGATTTAAAAGTAGTCAGAGTTGCAGCGGACCGGCAGGTTTCTGGGAGTTTGTTCCAGATGTTTGGAGCATAATAACTGAACTTCTCCATGTTTAGGTCTGACTCTGACTTCTTAGTGTTAGTGAGGAACCAGTGTAAAGACCTCAGAACTGGACTGATCCTCTTTCTTAGTGTTAGTGAGGAACCAGTGTAAAGACCTCAGAACTGGACTGATCCACTTTCTTAGTGTTAGTGAGGAACCAGTGTAAAGACTTCAGAACTGGAGTGATCCACTTTCTTAGTGTCAGTGAGGAACCAGTGTAAAGACTTCAGAACTGGACTGATCCACTTTCTTAGTGTTAGTGGGGAACCAGTGTAAAGACTTCAGAACTGGACTGATCCACTTTCTTAGTGTTAGTGGGGAACCAGTGTAAAGACCTCAGAACTGGACTGATCCACTTTCTTAGTGTTAGTGAGGAACCAGTGTCAAGACTTCAGAACTGGACTGATCCACTTTCTTAGTGTCAGTGAGGAACCAGTGTAAAGACCTCAGAACTGGACTGATCCACTTTCTTAGTGTTAGTGAGGAACCAGTGTAAAGACTTCAGAACAGGACTGATCCACTGTCTTAGTGTTAGTGAGGAACCAGTGTAAAGACTTCAGAACAGGACTGATCCACTTTCTTAGTGTCAGTGAGGAACCAGTGTAAAGACATCAGAACTGGACTGATCCACTTTCTTAGTGTTAGTGAGGAACCAGTGTAAAGACTTCAGAACAGGACTGATCCACTTTCTTAGTGTTAGTGAGGAACCAGTGTAAAGACTTCAGAACAGGACTGATCCACTTTCTTAGTGTCAGTGAGGAACCAGTGTAAAGACTTCAGAACTGGACTGATCCACTTTCTTAGTGTTAGTGAGGAACCAGTGTAAAGACATCAGAACTGGACTGATCCACTTTCTTAGTGTTAGTGAGGAACCAGTGTAAAGACTTCAGAACAGGACTGATCCACTGTCTTAGTGTTAGTGAGGAACCAGTGTAAAGACTTCAGAACAGGACTGATCCACTTTCTTAGTGTCAGTGAGGAACCAGTGTAAAGACTTCAGAACTGGACTGATCCACTTTCTTAGTGTTAGTGAGGAACCAGTGTAAAGACTTCAGAACTGGACTGATCCACTTTCTTAGTGTTAGTGAGGAACCAGTGTAAAAAGACATCAGAACTGGACTGATCCACTTTCTTAGTGTTAGTGAGGAACCAGTGTAAAGACCTCAGAGCTGGACTGATCCACTTTCTTAGTGTTAGTGAGGAACCAGTGTAAAGACTTCAGAACTGGACTGATCCACTTTCTTAGTGTTAGTGAGGAACCAGTGTAAAGACTTCAGAACTGGACTGATCCACTTTCTTAGTGTTAGTGAGGAACCAGTGTAAAGACCTCAGAACTGGACTGATCCTCTTTCTTAGTGTCAGTGAGGAACCAGTGTAAAGACCTCAGAACTGGACTGATCCACTTTCTTAGTGTTAGTGAGGAACCAGTGTAAAGACTTCAGAACTGGAGTGATCCACTTTCTTAGTGTCAGTGAGGAACCAGTGTCAAGACTTCAGAACTGGACTGATCCACTTTCTTAGTGTTAGTGAGGAACCAGTGTAAAGACTTCAGAACTGGACTGATCCACTTTCTTAGTGTTAGTGGGGAACCAGTGTAAAGACTTCAGAACAGGACTGATCCACTTTCTTAGTGTTAGTGGGGAACCAGTGTAAAGACTTCAGAACTGGACTGATCCACTTTCTTAGTGTTAGTGAGGAACCAGTGTAAAGACATCAGAACTGGACTGATCCACTTTCTTAGTGTTAGTGAGGAACCAGTGTAAAGACTTCAGAACTGGACTGATCCACTTTCTTAGTGTTAGTGGGGAACCAGTGTAAAGACTTCAGAACTGGACTGATCCACTTTCTTAGTGTCAGTGGGGAACCAGTGTAAAGACTTCAGAACTGGACTGATCCACTTTCTTAGTGTTAGTGGGGAACCAGTGTAAAGACTTCAGAACTGGACTGATCCACTTTCTTAGTGTTAGTGGGGAACCAGTGTAAAGACCTCAGAACTGGACTGATCCACTTTCTTAGTGTTAGTGAGGAACCAGTGTCAAGACTTCAGAACTGGACTGATCCACTTTCTTAGTGTCAGTGAGGAACCAGTGTAAAGACATCAGAACTGGACTGATCCACTTTCTTAGTGTAGTGAGGAACCAGTGTAAAGACTTCAGAACTGGACTGATCCACTTCTTAGTGTTAGTGAGGAACCAGTGTAAAGACATCAGAACTGGACTGATCCACTTTCTTAGTGTTAGTGAGGAACCAGTGTAAAGACTTCAGAACTGGACTGATCCACTTTCTTAGTGTTAGTGAGGAACCAGTGTAAGACATCAGAACTGGACTGATCCACTTTCTTAGTGTTAGTGAGGAACCAGTGTAAAGACAGCAGAACTGGACTGATCCACTTTCTTAGTGTTAGTGAGGAACCAGTGTAAAGACTTCAGAACAGGACTGATCCACTGTCTTAGTGTTAGTGAGGGAACCAGTGTAAAGACTTCAGAACAGGACTGATCCACTTTCTTAGTGTCAGTGAGGAACCAGTGTAAAGACTTCAGAACTTGGACTGATCCACTTTCTTAGTGTCAGTGAGGAACCAGTGTAAAGACTTCAGAACTGGACTGATCCACTTTCTTAGTGTTAGTGAGGAACCAGTGTAAAGACTTCAGAACTGGACTGATCCACTTTCTTAGTGTTAGTGAGGAACCAGTGTAAAAAGACATCAGAACTGGACTGATCCACTTTCTTAGTGTTAGTGAGGAACCAGTGTAAAGACCTCAGAGCTGGACTGATCCACTTTCTTAGTGTTAGTGAGGAACCAGTGTAAAGACTTCAGAACTGGACTGATCCACTTTCTTAGTGTTAGTGAGGACCAGTGTAAAGACTTCAGAACTGGACTGATCCACTTTCTTAGTGTTAGTGAGGAACCAGTGTAAAGACTTCAGAACTGGACTGATCCACTTTCTTAGTGTTAGTGAGGAACCAGTGTAAAGACTTCAGAACTGGACTGATCCACTTTCTTAGTGTTAGTGAGGAACCAGTGTAAAGACTTCAGAACTGGACTGATCCACTTTCTTAGTGTCAGTGAGGAACCAGTGTAAGACTTCAGAACAGGACTGATCCACTTTCTTAGTGTTAGTGAGGAACCAGTGTAAAGACTTCAGAACTGGACTGATCCACTTTCTTAGTGTTAGTGAGGAACAGTGTAAAGACTTCAGAACTGGACTGATCCACTTTCTTAGTGTTAGTGAGGAACCAGTGTAAAGACTTCAGAACTGGACTGATCCACTTTCTTAGTGTTAGTGAGGAACCAGTGTAAAGACTTCAGAACTGGACTGATCCACTTTCTTAGTGTTAGTGAGGAACCATTGTAAAGACTTCAGAACTGGACTGATCCACTTTCTTAGTGTTAGTGAGGACTCGAGCAGCAGCGTTCTGAATCAGCTGCAGCTTTCTAATAGATGTGTTAGTGAGACCTGTAAAGACACCATTACAGTAGTCCAGTCTACTTAAGATAAAAGCATGGACTAGTTTTTTCCAGATCCTGCTGTGACATTAGTCTTTTAATCTAGATATGTTCTTTAGGTGATAGTAGGCTGATTTAGTAACTGTTTTAATGTGACTGTTGAAACTCAGGTCAGAGTCCATGACTACATCTAGATTTCTGGCTTTATCTGTTGTTTTGAACATTGCAGACTGAAGCTCAGCGCTAACTTTTATACGTTCTGCCTTGGCTCCAAAAACCATTACCTCAGTTTTGTCTTTGTTAATTGGAGAAAGTTCTGACACATCCAGTCATTGATTTGTTCAATGCACTTACTCAGTGTTTTAACTGGAGAATAGTCTCCTGGTGAAATGGTTACATACATTTGGGTGTCATCCGCATAGCTATGGTAACTTATTTTGTCGTTTTTCATTATCTGAGCCAGTGGTAGCATCCATCCATCCATCTTCTCCCACTTATCCGTGGTCGGGTCGTGGAGGTATCAGTTCCAGCAGAGAGCCCCAAACGTTCCTTTCCCCTCATCAACCAGCTCTGACTGGGGGATCCCAAGGCGCTCCCAGGCCAGCCAAGAGATATAATCCTCCACCTGGTCCTAGGTCTACCCCTCGTCTCTTCCCAGCTGGACGTGCCTGGAACACCTCCATAGGGAGGCGCCCAGGTGGCATCCTTACTAGG